TCAAACAGGGAGCCACTTTAAAATGCAGCCTCCTAGGCCTCCCCCAACCCTATAGAATTATTCTCTGAATATTGAACATTCTCCCCAGGTGATCTTGATGTCCCATACATTTTGGGAACATTCCCCCATGCCCTGGCTCTCAACAGGACTTCATGCTTAAATACTGATATCCAGGCTATATTAGATCCATAGCTGAGGTTTAGAGTCTTGGCCAGGTACTTGCATTTTTCTTAATGCTGGCTGCTTGACATGCAGTGAAGGTAGAGAGCATCTCCCATACACATCTAGGGCTTCTCTGCCAAGACTGGTAAAAACACATCTTTCTTCTCAGGTGAAGATGCTGAAATGTTTTATTACCAGGATAAAGACCCATTTGTGATGCATGGTCCACCATGACCCAATTTGGGCTTGACTTCTTGCAAAGTTTTATTTCCTTATGTAAAATCTTAGGCTGTTGGGGTCTTCCATGTTGTGGCTCCAGCATTTGGGGCAGCAGGGTGTCCTAACAGGCAGGCTGCAGGGAGCTCCCTGCTCATTCCCAGTCTTCTGAAGGAGAAGGAAGATCTGTGTGTCCCCATCTCATATGCATCCTTTTTATTGGTCTGTACTGAATTCATGAATAACAAGGTTCCCTGAGCTGAGACAGTTGAGTAATGATCTCAACTCTGTTGCGTGTCTGTGTCATTTGCTGCTGCTGATAGGAGCTAATGAGACACTCTCTGAATAACATGTGTTCATGGGGCCTTTTGGCGTCCAGTAGTCAATGGTGAAGCAGGCATTAGGTGGGGAGGCCACAGTGTGGGTTTGCAAGTGACAGGGCAAATCCACAGCCTTCATTTTCCAGGAAGAGGCAGAAAACACTTTTAAGTTTCCTTAAAGCACACTGTGGTTTAGAATTGGATCTGTCCCACGCCCTGTTCCTGAGCTGCTTTGGCAAAGCTCGACATGAGGCAGGAGGCTGTGGGAATTCATGGAAAGCAAAGATGATTGACTGAAGCAGAGAACTAGATTCTAGCTGTGGCTGAGTGACCCACGCAAGCGGCCCACTCTCTCTGTGCTCTGAGACCCCCAATGGTGGAGTGAGAAGGACAAAAGCTATTTTCTGACTAAGGCAGTGGATGAAGATGAAAATAGTTGGGAGCAAATGTGTATAAGAAAAATGTCCCCATGTAACTGCCATCCCCTGTCCCCATTAGCCTACCTCATTATCTCATAACATTGTATAATTTTATGGCATTGAAAGGCATCCTGAGGTTTATCAACTGTAGTCATTTTCAAACTGTTTTTTTAAAACTCTGGGACCAACTTTCTAAAGGAAATCTAATTCAACCGTCCAAACGAATGTAAGAGATAAAAGCAGACATGCTCTGTATGGAATGAGGTTTGGTAACCCCTTAAATTTTCTCCCACCATGCTGCCACAGAGGCCCCTAAACTGGCTCTATGAAATGCTTGGGGTACCATGAAGCACAGTGTGACAACCACCAATGCAACCCAATGCCTCCTATTTTCCAGATGAGGAAACTGAAGTCCAGAGAGGCAAAAGCCAGGGCTAAAATCCATATTTGTCAACTATATGTTGAAGGTTCTTTGGGGAAACACAGTGGTGAAGCATCGGGTGGGTATCTTGTCCTAACCTCAGGCAGTAAGAGTTAGATGGGCTGGAACCAGCCAGAGTGACTGCATATGTGCAGCTTGGCACTTGCTAATGATTGAGGGGCCCTTGGTGAGGAAAAGGCAGGGAAATTGAGCAGGGTGGAGGCTGCACTGTTCAAGGCGATCCCCATGGTTCTACGTGGCATGTGGCTGTATGGTGTAGCAGCTGAGAATGGGGACTTGGGAGCTGGATGGCCTGGGTTTCAGTTCCAGCTTTCACTACTGCTTAGCTATGTAACTGGCATGAACCACTTAACCTTTCAGTATTTCAGTTTTCTCATGTAGTAAATGGAAACAAAAGGAGTCCTTAGCTTCTAGCCGTCTGTAATCCCAAGGTTTTGGGTGGCTATGGCAGGAAAATTATTTGAGAACGTGAGTTTGAGACCAGCCTGAGCAACATAGTGAGACCTCATCTCTACAAAAAGGAATTTTTAAAAAATTAGCCAGGCATGCAAGATCGCACCATCACACTCCAGCCTGGGCCACAGAGTGAGACGCTGTCTCAAAAAAATTAGCTGAGCATAGTGGCGCATGCCTGTGTTTCCAGCAACATGGGAGGCTGAGGCAGGAGGACCACTTGAGGTCAGGAGGTTAGTGCTGCAGTAAGCTGTGATCACACCATTGCACTCTGACCTGGGTGACAGAGCAAGGCCCCATCTCTAAAAATAATAATAGTAATACATAAATACAATAAGAAAATAAAATTAAAAAACAAATCTGTGCCTGGCACATAGTAAGTGCTCAGTAAATACTGGAGTGTGTTACTGTTATTACAGGAGTTCTGAGACCAGGGATTGGGAGCTTGTTTCTGGTTCCTGCCCACTCCCATCATCCTATAGAAATAACCTCTAGGGAGGACAGGGTGGGTGGGGGGAAGATGAGGAAGAATCGAGAAGAGCGTGCTGCCTTCAGCTCTGCACACTGTACCTCCTCAAGTGATTCTGTGCAATCTGGGTCACAGCGGAGGCTCCAGAGCGTGCAGGCTGCCTTTGACTCTTCCTGGGGTGGGGCAGCACCTCACTTGAATGGAACACAAAAGGGAGAAGCTGCTTTTTATAGCATTGTAAGTCGGAGCACTCTGAGAGTGTGGCAGGAACGATGAGGGCCATGGGGAGAGTAAGCATTAGGTGTCTACCAGGGAAGGCTACCAGGGGCCCTCTGGGTGCTGTGATGCCCAAGTCCCCTCCCATTGGCTCTCCCCACCCATGGAGAGGTGGGTGGGGTCCAGTGCTATCTGGGTTCACTGGCTCTGTGTCTAGAAGGAGCCCTCATTTGATGGAAGGGCAAGGAGATGACTTCAAGCTGGTGGGAAGTGACAGAAAAAAAACAAAACTTGAAGTGGAAACAGGATGCCACAGTTGTCATTCAGAGTGTGGCCTGAAACCAGTGGCATCACGTGGTACCACCTGGGAACTTTTTAGAAATGTAGCACCTCAGGCCCCACCTCAGACCTGGTGTTTCGAATCTGCATTTTAACAGATCCCCGTGTCGTCTGCGTGCACATTAAACTTGAGAAGTGCTAGGGTGATGCATATGAAATGTGGGTTGTAGGATTTTGTTGTTGTTTTTTGAGATGGAGTCTGGCTCTGTCACCCAGGCTGGAGTGCAGTGGCATGATCTCAGCTCACTGCAACCTTTGCCTCCCAGATTCAAGCAATTCTCCTGCCTCAGCCTCTTGAGTAGCTGGAACTACAGAGGCACACGACCATGCCCAGCTTTTTTTTTTTTTTTTTGTATTTTTAGTAGACATGGGGTTTTGCCATGTTGGCCAGGCTGGTCTCAAACTCCTGGCCTCAGGTCATCTACCCAACTTGACTGCCCAAAGTGTTAGGATTACAGGCATGAGCCGCCATGCCAAGCTATGGGTTCTAGTTTTGGCTCTGCTACTTCCTAGCTGTGTGACCTTGGGTACGTCATTTAACTTCCCCATGCCACTTTCTTTACCTGTAAAATTGCACTTTTACCTGCCTCCTGGAAGTGGGTGGCAGTGTACCTCATGCCATGCTGAGCATATAGTGAGCACCACCAAAGTGTAAGCTGTTATTACGCATGACTTGATGCTCAATGCATCTTACTTTTGTTAGATACACCTGTAGGGAGTGAGATGCTCTCATTCATTCATTCATTCATTGATTCAACCAGCATGTGCAAATCCCCACTACAGCCTAGGTGCTGATCCAGCGCTGGGCACACAGCAGGGAATAAGACAGACAGTGTGCCTGGGACAGGGGAACTCATAGTCCTGCGACAAACCGGAGACTGTTTAACAATCAGCCGATTACTTAATACAGACAATCTCTGTGGTTAATTCCAAAGGTGACAAGCGCTATGAGGAAGTACAAGGTTGCTAGGAGAGTGAATAAAATTGGTTGTCAGAGGAGGCTCTCAAGAGGGAAGGCTATTCTAAAGCAGAGGACACCCTAGCCAGGGAAAATATGAAAGTGTGTCTGTGTTTGCAACAGAGAGAGACAGAGAAATCACAAATGTGTGTGTTTGTTCCAGGCATGAGGAACTGAATGTGCTGTGCTGCTGAGGCAGACAGAACTGAAACTGAAGGATCAGTGTAACGAGAGCACTGAGTCTCAAAGACATACTTAAGCATGCATCAGGATACCCTGGAGGACTCGTTAAAACACAGATTGCTGGACCTCTATCCAGCCAAATTAGAATCATTTAGTTTCCAGGGCATTCATTTCCAAACAGGGGTCTTTCTGAGCTCTGTTCACCCTCTACCCTTTCCCTAAACTGTCTGCACTTGACAATTTGGGGACAGAATTTCTCATTCCATTGGGCTGGGTTGGGGCCCAAGAATTTGGTTGGGTCATTGAATGTCAGGAGAGGAGGGAGTCAAGGAAGACTCCCCACCCAGGGATTCTGGTTTGAGCAAGTATGTAGAGAGAGGTGGCATTTCCCAAGAGGGAAGCAGGTTTGCTGGAGCTGGGGGTGGAGAGCAGCCAAAATGAAAAGTTAAGTTTGAAAGCATAAGTTTGAGATGCCTGTGAAGGCATCCAAGTGAAGGCAGCAGGAGACAGATAAACAGATCTAGAGTTCAGAAGGCAGTTTCTGGGAGGAGGTGACAGGGGATAAAGGACTAGGTAAGGTTCTTCATCTGAAGTCAGTAGAACAGATGGGATTTTGAGGGGTGTGAGAGGGGGTCTTTGGTATTCGGAAATGTGTCAGAATTTTACATGCCTGTGCCTTTTTCTGGGGAAGAGTTCACAACTGTCATCAGATGCACGAGAGCATATGGCTCAAAGAAGGTGAAGACCGTCATCCTGACACTGTGGGGTATGCTGGTGGCTCCCAGTCCTACAAAGTTCTTACTTACCTTGTCTCTGCTTCCAGGCGCCTGGTGGACCGCCTGGAAAACATGAGGAAGAACGTGGCTGGGGATGGGGTGAACCGCTGCATACTGTGTGGAGAACAGCTGGGGATGCTGGGCTCTGCCTGCGTAGTATGTGAGGACTGTAAAAAGGTACCATCATCCTCTTCTCCCTTCTTCCCTGTGTAGCACCTGCAGAGGGGAAAGTCCTAGGTTCCAGCTGTAGGGGTCACTAGGTCTTGGGGGTGGAGCTTGGATCCTGAAGATCATTTGCCTGTGTATGATTTTTTCTGGGATGCTTGCATGCCCTACTGCCTTCCAAGGCAATCCTGATCCTGGTTTCTCCCTGGAAGCCACTCTGATCCTTCTGTCCTTTAGAGCTGAGCTTCATCCAGGGTGAACCTGGGAGGCTGTGACAGGACATGAGCTATGATTGAGTCTACAGGTATCCTGGTTGTACCTTAGCAAGTTATATGTGTCAGTTTAGAGAGCACGCTCAGCACATATTTATGCATGTGTTTATGTAGAATGCTTTCGGCATTCTTGTATCTTGTGTTATGATACAAGAAACTTAGAAAGCCTCTATCCAGCCAAGTTAGAATCTTTCAGCTTCCAGAGCATTTTTTCTCAAAGAACAGTCTTCCTGAACTCTGTTCAGCCTCTAACCTTTCCTTAAACTTTCTGTACTCGACAGTGTTGGAGCAGAGATACAGCAGTTCAGTTGGGATCTGCTGAACTCCAAGGGTTCAGCTGGACAACGCAGCTGGAGACATCTACAATGCCATCATCTCCAGCTTGATGTCCCATTTCACATGTAGAATGAAATATTGGCAAAGTTTATTCTGAAAAACTTGCCAGTCAACTCAATAGTGAGAATTTTGTGACCCATCGAGTTTTCCTAATTGCCTTAACTTCCAGGCAATTCAATGAAGAGCAGTGTTCCATCACACAGCCATGGCACTTGCTTAGCTATCTTCCTTCCCTTGGGGAGTTAAACTAGTCATAGTCTAGGTTGTCGCAGATCCATTTTGGAAATAAAGAGAAAATACATTAAGACACAAAATGGATATATGGCCATTCCTCTTCAGAAAAAATTATGTCAATGACTCCCCTTTGTGGATGATGAAAATTCAGATCCCACAGGGACACTTAGAGAATTCCTTCATCCAGTGCTGGGAATGACTTCAGTTCTTGTTACTGGAAATAAGACTCAAATTGGAACTTTATTCTAACTGGCCTTGCTTGTGGAAGGAAGTGTGACAAATGGAGGAAAGTTCTTCCTCTTTATATCCACCAAGAGAAAGTGGGGGGATACATTGCTGTGCCTCCCATGCACATGGCTCATCTGAGTGTGTTGGCTGTGTTTCAACCGCAGAACGTCTGCACCAAGTGTGGAGTGGAGACCAACAACCGCCTGCATTCTGTGTGGCTCTGCAAAATCTGCATCGAGCAGAGGGAGGTGAGTGCCCTGGCTCCATCTGGCTCCTAGATCACCCTCCTTTCTTGGCCAGCTTAAGAGGTGTCTTAAGAGGTTGGTAGGAAAGGACCTGGCTCAGCAGTGAATGTGGACCGAACAACCTCAGAGTATTTGGAGGAATTTCTTTTCTCCTCTGCTTCTGTGATTTTTTCTTCCTTTCCACCCTCTCTTCTTCCCTCTCTGTTCAGTGCCCTCTGGCCTCTGTTCTTTCTTTGTTCCTGTTTCTTGCCTTATGGATCTTCCTCTCCTAACACTTTTTGTTTCTATTTCATTTCTTATTTCCATTTTATTCTTTCCTCACACCGTCCTCTTGTTTGAGCCCTTTTCTTCCTCTAATCCTTACTGCCCTTTTCTCCCTTTTTTCATCTTGTTGTTTCTCATATCTTCACACCTTTTTCTCTGCAATTTATCTTTACTTTGCCTCTTTTTCTTTCTCCCGTGGCATCCTTCTCTTCCCCAGTCCTGCCTCTTACTCGTCTTACTCCAATTAAGTCCTTTCTCTTTCTCCCAATTTCTTCACCCCCCAGCCACTGCTGCAGAGTTCTGCCTTTGAGACCGTGTTTAAAAAACCGTGTTCTCCTCAGTATCGGTCAGGGGCCTGGCAGGAAAGCATTGGCACACTTCAGTAGGGTAATCAAGGGTTTGATAAAGGTGATATTGACAAAGGTCCAGACAGAGCTAAGAGAAATCAGCAAGGGATGGTGAGTTACCCTAGCACCAGCAACAACAAGGTTGCTGTTTCCCCTCCTAGGACTGAAGGGATAGAGGAGGGAGTGGTTCCCAGACTGGAAGATAGGTGTAGCCTAACAGGAATGCAGTCACCGTCCTACTAGCAGGGGGCTGGGGGGAGCCAAGGAAATAAACACCATAGTCCCACCCTTCTCATTACTACAAACTCTTTATTTGCCCAGAGAACTCTTCATTAATCCAAGCTTTCAAGAGGCTTTGTTGTAATGGTTTATTTGGTGGAGTCAAGTTAGAGCCATCCATACTGGTCAGCCTCCTGGGGCACAGAGCAGGGTAGAGAATGAATCTGATGAGGCAGTGGAAGACGTTTCACACACTGCCCTGGGTGTGCTGCTCTGTCCTGACCCACGGGACCAGGAGAAAGGCCAGAGGTCTTGGGGAAGTTGTAGGTAGATCACCCTCTTTATAACAACCAGTGTAGTGAAGAGCATGCCACATTTAAGGGATGGAAGACTTGCAGGTCAGCCCTTGTTTTTCCATTCTCTGGCTGTGTACTGTTGGACCAGTCTTTAACATTTTGGATATTCTACTTTCTCCGTCTATAACATGGGTAAACTCAAGCCCTTTATACTGAGTTTTCAGGGTGGGTGGGCTGAATAAATATGAATTGTGTCGGGCTCTGTAGTAGTAAGAGAAGCATGCTGGCTATTGTGTCAGTGTACTTTGGACAAGAGGAAAGAAAAAAATGGGCACTCGTGAAGGTAAGAGCAGCAGTGCTTTTCTGCCACATCTTCAATCCCTGTCTCTCCTCCCCAGGTATGGAAGCGTTCTGGAGCATGGTTCTTCAAAGGCTTCCCCAAACAGGTCCTCCCACAGCCTATGCCTATAAAGAAGACCAAGCCCCAGGAGCCTGCCAGTGAGCCTGCTGCCCCTGAGCAGCCTGCTCCTGAGCCCAGGCACCCTGCCCGGGCTCCAACTCGAGGTAGGACAAAGCAGGTTCTTCTTTTAGGACCAAGGACAGATCTTGGCCACCTGGTCTACCCGAGGGGTGTCCTGACATCGTGTCTGTGTTTCACCCAGTTATTGGACAATCCACTTCTGGACTTGGGTCTAGGGCTCTTGTATCTCCTTCATAGTTCACCATAAATCCTTATCAAGAGGGCGGCATAGGGAACTCTCCAGCAACTCCAAGCTGCCCAGAGGCATCGTGGTCATCCCTGGTGGTATATCTAGCGTGTAAGAGGTAGAAATTAAAATTGGGAACTTAGAGTGACTTTTACCACCAAGATCACACTGGAGCCTGGGAGAATACTGGGCTTGCTGAGAAGCCTTCCTGGACCCTGATATCTCTCCTACTATCCATAAGCAAGTCTGACTTGCACTAATTAAAAGTGAAAGATGAATAGAAGGAAAGTAGTAAAAGAAAATTACTGCTACTAAATCGCTACTGTTGACATTATCACTGTTATCCAAGTATTATGATTAATTATTAAAATGATTAAGAGGGAGAAGCAAAATGGCAAAAATTTTAAAAAGCAGCCATAGTAAAAATACATTTTAGTTGGATTAGGCCACCAGGGCTGACCAGATAAAGCCCTTGCGATAATTTCGGTTGACACTAAGTGATAAAATCTGGACTAAATGACAATGCCAGATTGAGTGCAGGCAGTGCTTCTGAAAGGAAGGGTATAGTTGAACATCTCAAATATTGAAGTGTCCACCTGTGTTTCTCATAAGATAACTTATCAAGGTACTTAGCACAATGCCTGCCACCTAAAAGGCATTCGGCAAATGTTTTCTTCCTGACAAGGCATGAGCAATTTCTACTCCTTGCAGAGAATCACTAAATTGTCAGCATATATTGCATCCCTGAGGAGTCCCCAGTTTTCCCCACTAAAAGATTCCTTCTTCCTGGTTCTTCTAGGCTAAGAATGCTGTATAGCATGATTGTTCTTTATAAAGCCTATGTATGCTCATATGTGTTTGTGCATGCAAAGGAAATAATGTGAAATTGTAAACAGGAGTTAGATCGGGGGAGGTTGGGAGGAAGACTTTTAATTTTTTTAAATGTTCTTGGGCAATAGTCAACGAACCCCTTTGTAGGCTTGAGTGTTGGTTTTCCAGACACCAGAAAACTGTTACTCCTCATCATTTGTGTTTTCTTTCTCCAGGTGACAGTGAGGATAGGAGGGGCCAAGGTCAGAAGACAGGTAGGTTCTGCTGACTCTGTTTTGTAACTTGAGACAGGAATTCACCTCATTCCCTTGATGCCCTTTGCCATCCAATTCATGTTCTTCTTTTCAGGCCCCGATGCAGCCTCTGCTCCAGGGCGAGGAAGCTATGGGCCTCCTGTGCGCAGGGCCTCCGAGGCACGAATGAGCACATCTAGCCGGGATTCAGAGAGCTGGGACCACAGCGGTAGTGCTGGAGACTCCAGCCGGAGCCCAGCAGGTGAGCAAGATGGTCAGATCCAGAGACAACTCGCTGGATAGGGAGACTCAGAAAGAATGAGAGGAACAATGTTTTTATTCATTTATTTAGGCAACACTTATTGAGCACCTACTATGTGCTGTGTTCTATTCCAGATACTGGTTCTAGTCTATGACAGAGGAAAGACAGGATTCAGAAACAATTCTGGCTCTAGACATCTGTAATTTTGGTTAGATCCTTTTCTTACTGTAATACCATATGTCAGAAAGCATGATTTTTTTGTCTCCCCACCTCAAAAAATAAAAACCCTGGGAGAAAATGCCCCTAGGCTTTGAACAAAGTAAGGATGCTTCACTCTCAAAGATCTCTCCAAGTCTTGCCTTGGCTCTGCTGTCTGGGCATATGGCATAGGTCAGCATGGCCAGGATGTTACTGACAGGTGCTTGTATTGGGTACCTCACATTTCTGGCCTCACTCATGGTGGGTTTATTTGGCAAGAGTGCCCAATGGTAGGAGTCCTTGAGCACAGGACTTTGAAGGAGATTTCTACCATATTGGAACATCTTTCTTTCATAACCCCTTATCCAAGATCTCAGAGCAGCTTCATTTCTCATTCAGGAAGTGGCTAAGTCACATTGGCTGAATACTTGCGTCCCAGGTTGACATCTGACTTTCTCTTCCTGAATTGCGTGTGTGTAGGTTAGCACTTCACATCCTCTTTATTGGCAACAGAGCTGGGCACAAACATACCTTGTGCTTCATCATCTGCCCAGACCCCTCCCCGCAATGAACCTATGGTTCAGATGAACAGAGAAAGAGGAATTTCTCGGATCCTCAGCATCATGTAATATTTATAGGGTGTTTACTATGTGCCAAATGCCATCTCAAGCTCTTTTCCAGGTATTATCTCATTTAATCCTTGCTGCAACTCCAAAAGTCACATATGAGACTTCTGTTGTTCACATTTTACAAGATAGAGAAACTGAGCCTCAGAGAGGTGAAGCCACTTGCCCTAGGTCACATAGCTGATAATTGGCTAAAATGAGAATTAATTCCATATATGTCCAACATCAAAGCCTGTACTTTTTCTATTCTCTTCCAGAGGTTAAGTTTCTATTGGCAATGCCTTTTAAAGTCATTTTTAATTGTTGTAAAATATATATAACATAAAATCTACCATTTTAACCATTTTCATGTATACAATTTAGTGGTGTAAAGCATATTCACACGGTTACACAACCATGCCACTATCCATCTGCAGAACGTTTTTGTCATTACAAACTAAAACTTTGTATCCATTAAATAATGACCCCACGCTCTTCTCTCTGCCCAGCCCCTGGTAACCAGTATTCTTGATTCTGTATCTATGGTTTTGACTACTCTAGGTACCACATATCAGGAGAATCATACAGAATTTATTCTTTCATGATTGGCTTATTTCACCTAGCATAATGTCTTCAAGGTTCATCTGCGTAGTAGCGTGTGTCAGAATTTCTTTCCTTTTTAACCCATTTATGCTGGAGGTTGCAATTTTTTGTGTGAAAAATGAGACCTTGGTGATAACTTTGAGCAGTAGGATATAAATAACTGCTACAAGCTTAGCGTTCCAATAATGGAACACTGAGCTTAAATTAAGAATACACAATATTCTATTGTGCATTTATATAGAATACATATATACACACATAATATAATGTACATATATACATAATAGACTGTATATAGTAAAATGGTATATATTGTATATTAATACATATAGTGTATATACACATAGCATACAGACTCTATATAGTGGTATATATGTATATACATGTATATATACATATATAGTGGTGTGTGTGTGTGTGTATATATATGTTATATATATATGCTACATATATATATATATATACCACATTTTATTTTATTCCACTCACCCATCAATGGGAGTTTGGGTTGTTTCAGCCTTTTGACTGTTGTAAATAATGTTGCTGTGTGCCTGACATACAAATATCTATTGCATTCCATTCTTCTCAATATATACCTAGAAGTGAAGTTGCTGAATCACATGGTAATTCTGTGTTTAATTGTTTGAGGAGCCACCATACTGTTTTTCATGGTGGCTGCGACATTTTTAGATTCCACCCAACGGTGTAGTAGGGCTTTAATTTCTCCATTTCCTCATCAATATTTGTTGTTTTCTGGGTTTGTTTGGTTTTTAATAATAGTCATCCCAATGGGTGTGAAGTGGTATCTCCTCGTGGTTTTCACTCGCATTTCCCTCATGATTAGTGATGTGGAGCACCTTTTCATGTGCTTTTGGCCATTTGTATATTTTCCTTGGGAAGACAGCTATTCAAGTTCTTTGTACACATGTTATATTTGATAGTTTGTCTTTTGTTGTTGAGTCATAGAAGTTCTTTGTATATTCTGGTTGTTAATGTCTTGTCAGATATAGAATTTACACATTTTTCTCTCATTTCATGGGTTGTTTTTTGTCTCTTTTATAGTGTCATTTGATGCACAAAAGGTTTTTATTTTGATAAGGCCCAGTTTATCTTTTCTTTTTCTTGCCTGTGTTTTTAGTGTCATATCTAAGAAATCACTGTGTAATCTAAGGTCTTGAAGAATTTCCTTTATGTTTTCTTCTAAGAGTTTTATAGTTTTAGCCCTTATGTTTCAGTCTTTGATCCATTTTGAGTTAATTTCTACATATCAAACCCTGCTTTTAATGTCTATATTATTTTGTCTTCTGAGGACAAAGACAGTCACGGGACATTTCCAAACCGGATTTGAATCCCCTGTCCCTCAAGAGTCAATGTAAATGTTTCCCTTTCTCTAGCTTCTGGCATCCACCTGCTCCACCTTGAGCTGGGTTAGCTGCTACCTTCTCTGAGCTCCCAGAGTAGTGAGATGCAGCCCTAATGCCGGGCTTATCACTGTCTAAAGCATTATAGCCTGAATCTCTCTCCCTGGTAGTACCAGGGACGTGTCTCTCTCCATTCATTTATTATGTTTCCAAATATTTGAAGCACTTACCATAATTTTATCTCTTGCTCCTTGTTTTTTAGCCTATACTGATTCCTAGTTGATTATAGGCTCTGAAAGCCTTGCAGATCTGAATTAATAATCATAACAGCAACTTAACTTTTATTGAGCCCCTGCTCTGCCAGGTACGTGATTAAACCCTTTGATGGGTGATATCATTGATCCAAACAACAGTTCTTTTGGGGTAGGTACTATTACAGTCATCCTCACTTAACAGATGTGGCAAAGAGAGGTTTAAAAAAGCTCAAAGTCACATAAAAGTAATAGCAGGGCTGATGTTTCATCCAGGAAGCTCACATGGAGAACTGATGCTCCTAGCTGCTCTGTTATTAGTTATACTTGAGGGACTGCGAGCAGCTCAGTAAAACAAACTCTCTGTTTCAGGGCTTTATCCTGGAATCTCAGGGTCCTCCCTCATACAGTGTGGAAATCCCTTCAGAGAGTCTCTAAAAGGGGTTTTATCACCCACCTACTCTCTGTAAGGGGTGACTCCCTACCTCATGGAGCAGCTTATTCTATTGTTGCTAAGCTTCAGGTATCATTTACACATTCAACAAGATCTGAGATAGACTTGGACAGAAGTCTTTTCTTGGGGGCTTCCTGGTCATGTGACCTTGGGCATATTTAACCCCCCACTGCCTCAACTGCAAAATGGGGAACACAATACCATGCATGGCATTGAGCTGTGAAGATCCCATGAGGTGATGTTCAAGGCCCGTTGCATTTGGATAACTCAATCACTGTTGGCTATTGTGGCCTCGTAAACTCATCATTTCAGTGTCTGTCTCCTTCCTGTGACTGGGCTGTGTACTCCTGGAGGGTATAAGATGGTGTTTTGTTCATCTTAGCACAGGGCTCGGCACTTGGTGGATGCTCAATGGATGCTTGTCAGATGAATGAATGTACAAATGAACATGGCCTCAAATGAACAGACAAATGGCAGTGCCAATGTAGGAAACTGGGACAAGACTTGGTGATTTGTAAGACCCCAGACAAAGGTAGTAAAGTGTCCTCTGTCATGTGCATTCAAGCATCCATCCGGCCAAAAGTGCTGGATTCAGGAAAGATGGCATCTAGCGCAGTGAGATAAGAGAGGGCAGGACACTCTTCCCAGAACATCAAACCTTCTGGGTACCAGAAACTGCTGCATACCTCATTCAATTCAGTCCCTCTCTGGGAAGCAACAGCATGTAAGGGACACTGGCACAGTCTCCGGAGACCAACCGCCGATGTTCAAACCCGGCTCTGCCCTAACCAGCCAAGAGACATTGGATGAGCTCAGTAACTGCTCTGTGCCTGTTTCCTCATCTGTAAAATGGAGATAATAAGGCCCCACCCCATGAAGTTATTAGTGTAGAGATTGAAGAAGTTCTTACATGTAAAGTCCCTCGCACATGGTAAGCACTGAATAAATCTTAATTTATTATTATTATGAGTTAAGTGGAGCTGTTGCCTCCGTGAGGCATCGAAGGTTCAGAGAGAATGAGTGACCAGCCCAAGGTCACACAGCCCACATAGGAAACAGCAGGAAAGCAAAGCCAAGTCCATATGAAGATAGAGACATATTCTTCCTTTTTCTTTTTTTTTTTTTTTTTTTTTTGAGATGGAGTCTTACTCTGTCTCCAGGCTGGAGTGCAGTGGCTCAATCTCGGCTCACTGCAACCTCCTCCTGGGTTCAAGTGATTCTTCCACCTCAGCCTCCAGAGTAGCTGGGACCACAGGCACGTGCCACCACGCCCGGCTAATTTTTGTATTTTTAGTAGAGACGGGGTTCCACCATGGCCAGGATGGTCTCAAGCTCTTGACCTCGTGACCCGCCCGCCTCAGTCTCCCAAAGTGCTGGGATTACAGGCGTGAGCCACCACGCCCGGCCGACATATTCTTTCAATAATAATAAAATAATTTCACTACCTGATATGTGTTGGGTTTTTTGTACATGCCAAGTACTGTTCTGAGCATTGCCTGTATCATTGCATCTCCCCACAGCTGTATCAGTTGGGTGATATTATCCCCATATACCAGGTGAGGAAACTGAGGCCTAGAGAGGACAGGTCACTTGAGCAAGGTCACACAGGTGGAAGGAGGATTATAGAACCTGTGCTTTTTGACAACTGTGCTGCTGTTGTGACTTGTCAGGGTTCGAGTATCGAGAGGAAAGAACGCACTGAAGGCAGAAGAGTCAGAAAGAGCTGAGTGAGTGAGGAGCTGTCTCCAGTGGAAGTCCAAGGGGCTCACTCTACGCCGGCTGAGCGGTCCCAGGCTCCTTCCCGCTGTGTGTGTGTGTGTGTGTGTGTGTGTGTGTGAGAGAGAGAGAGAGAGAGAGAGAGACACACACATACACACACACACACACACACACACACACACACACACACAATGGCTGTTTTCTTTTCTTTCCTCTGCAGGTTTGAGACGGGCCAACTCAGTCCAGGCCTCCAGACCTGCCCCAGGCTCGGTGCAGAGCCCAGCACCACTTCAGCCTGGGCAGCCAGGTACCTGTTACACGCCTGCTGGCACCTGCCTGGGCTGTCACTCAGCTGTGACCCCAATACCTCCCATCCCTGCTTGCAGAGCATGCTGGGCTTTCTGCAAAGCTGCAGCCACAACTAAATCCTAAGCTCTTCTAAGACCCTCAGAATGAATAATCCTCTGGGCTGAGAAGCTGGATGGGAATGGGAGGAGGGGGAGGGGAGCATCTTATCCACCCAGTGCAGGAAATGATGGTGCCTCATTCACCAGTGTTTCCCACCTCGAGGACCAGCACCCCCATTTCACAGAGGAGGTTCCCACAGAACTGGAGCTTGGGTCCAGGCCTTTCTAAATCCAAAAGCTCCCTTCCCAATGGGACTGTTCCTGCAACCTCTGGTACCTTTCTGCCTTTGGGCCTGTGTCCACACCTGTGAAATGAGAAGGAAAAGGTGAATGCCCAAATGATGCCACCCTCTCTGCTCCTTCTCTCTTGCTCTCTTCTCCCTGCTCAGGGACCCCAGGAGGCAGCAGACCGGGTCCTGGGCCAGCAGGACGCTTTCCAGATCAGAAGCCAGGCAAGTATCTGCTTCCTCCTGAGCTTGCCCAAGTGGCCACCTCTCCTCTACCTCCCGAGAGAGCAGGCAGCTGCCAGATCTTGACTCAGCCTGTACCTTGAGAGCTGTCTGGTGAGATCTAAACACCACCTGAGTCTAAAACTCTAGACAATCCATACTAAGATTAGATAGATAGAAATGCCAACACATATAGTTCAGAGCATAGACTACCTGGGTTTGAATCCCTGCCCCTTCACGTCCTGGCTGTGGGACCCTGGGCAAGTTACTTAACCTCCCTGAGCCTCAGTTTCCTTATTTATTAAATGGGAATGATACCAGGACCCACCTCACAGAGTTGTCGGCAGGATTAAACAAACTAATACATAGAAAGCCTTGGTGGGCTGCGTGGGATATACTAAGCCCACACTGAGTGACAGTGATTACTACTAATATATATGATCAATATGCATCACCATCATGTGTATCGATCATAGATAGCTACAGGGTATGTTTTCCTTTCTAAGGCACTAGGCACTGTTTCAAGTGCTGCACCTATAATCATTCATTAAACAAATACGACTATTTGGGTAACTTCAGATATTATAATTCCTGTTTTACAGATAAAGAAACTGAGTCTCTGACACATTAAGTAATTTGCCCCAGGTCACACAGCCAAGATTCAAACGCAGGCTGTCTGGCTCCAGAGTCCACATCACTGATCTGTACCACAACGAGGTCTGTTTTGCTTACATCTGAATCAGCTTGAGGGGCCTATTGTCAAACACAGATTCGCAAGGCCCCGCTGCAAATCCACTGATCCTGGGCGGGGCCTGGGAATCTGCATTTTTTGAAAATGTCCCTAGATGCTGCTGTTATGAAACAGGGACTCAGCTGCATCTTTCCTGTCCTTATCTCCCTATAGAGGTGGCTCCGAGTGACCCTGGGACCACTGCCCTACCCCGAGAGGAGAGAACTGGGGGAGTTGGGGGCTACCCAGCAGTTGGAGCCAGAGAGGACCGAGGGAGCCACCCCTCCCGGCCCTATTCCCAAGCATCTGCAGCTGCCCCCCAGCCTGCTGCAGCCCGCCAGCCACCACCCCCAGAGGAGGAGGAGGAGGAAGCCAACAGCTACGATTCAGATGAAGCAAGTAGGTGGGACCTAAAGGAGAGGTATCTTGGAAAAATTGCTTCAGGAGCCAAACTGGGGGAGACAGGAATGGCTCAGGGTCAGCCTTGTCTACCCCCAGCCCCCTGTTCAGCCAGGCCTGATAACATCCACCAAGTGATAGAAGTACAGATTTGTGTTTCTAAATTCACAAAATAATATCAGCTTCCTAAAGATTAAGTGCTATGTATATTTTTTATTGTGGTAAAATACAAATAACATCAATGGTACCATTTAATCATTTTAAAGATTGCAATTCGGTGGCATTAGCTATATTCTCGATGTTCAGTCTACCAGTTCCTCAAGACGTTAAAACAGAATTATTATATGACTCAGCAATTTCACTCCTAGGTGTGAATGTGTTTTTTAACAGTTTTTAAAACTCTTTAATGTATATCTTCTATAAGTAATTTATTAATCATCATTTTAAGTTTACTGGGCATTTTCTCTTGCCTCCTTATTAAATGCCTGCAATGTATCTGCCCCACTCAGGCCCTAAGTTTCAAGGATTCACACACACACACTCACACACACACACACATGTCCCAGGGATACACACACATACACACACACACACACACACACGTCCCAGGGATATATGCACATGCACACACGCAAGTCCCAGGGACACATACACACACACACATCCCAGGGACACACACACATACACAAACACATCCCAGGGATATACGCACATGCACACACACACAACCCCCAGGGATACACACACACACACACATACACATACACACACACACACACATGTCCCAGGGACACACACACACACACGTCCCAGGGACACACACACACGTCCCAGGGATATATGCACATGCACACACACAAGTCCCAGGGACACATACACACACACACATCCCAGGGACACACACACATGCACAAACACATCCCAGGGATATACGCACATGCACACACACACACAAGTCCCAGGGATACACACACACACACACACACACCCCAGTGACATCTTCTCCCCCTGGTGTGCCTGGGGCAGCCTTTGTGAGCTAGATGAAGGCAGGATTGGCAAGTGTCTGCATCCAATGTGTGTTGGTGGGTAGGGGCATTTTCATTTGTTTCTAATCAGGTGGGAAAACCGGACCCACACAGAAGGAACAGATCAAAGCTGTGACCAGCAACATGGCCTTGGTGTGCCATGTCATCTCCCTCCATTGTAAAATGAAAAGTACAGCACCACCTCCCCCATAGGCTCAGGGGCAGATAAACTCAGATGCCTTCCGGGAAGGTGCTTCATAAACTGGAAACCATTATTATTACACAGTGCTAAACACACACGAGGAATTGTTATTATGCTTTATAGACATCAGAGGTCGTGAAAGTCAACACGTGTTGGGCACTTGTTTTGTGCTGGGCACTGTTCTGAGTGTATTCTGTGCATTTGCCCATTTAATCTTCCCAGCGAGCTTGGGCATGGTTGCTTTGATGACTCCCATTTTACAGGTTGAGAGATGAGGCTCCTAGAGGTTGAGGCACTTGTCCAAGCTCACCCAGTCAGTGCCAGGAGGGGCTGGCAGTCAATTGCAGTGCTATAGCAGAGCAGAGGCCAGGCCTGCATGGAAGATCAGCTGTCCCCTTTCATTCCCTGTGCTCTCCCATGGGTCATGGGTCTGCTGTCTCAGGAGAAAGGAATGAGAGGAGTCTACCTGCCTTGTCAGCCATAGAAATGCCTTGTCTATCCACCCTTCTGCCTTCCCTCATCCTGATCCTTCCCCGGAACACTGGCCACTGCTCCTTCCGTCTTCCTTAGATGTCCCCAACCCACCAAGCATAGATGAGTCATCCTAGCCTCATGTTTGTCCCTGTTATTAACTTGTCCTGGCAGTTTATTACAAGCCTGTCTCCATACTCTGCACACTAACTCATCTCTATATTTGACAAGGGTTTATTGAGCATTTACTAAGTGCTTCAAACTATTCTAGGTGCTGGGGCTATCATGGCAGGGAAAAAACAAAAAGATGGACATGCCGTCTATTCTCCTGGAGCTAACATTCTAGTGAAGAGAGACAGTTAACATACTAATGAATTCATTTCAAACGGAGACAAAACATCATAAAGGAAATAAAATATATTGAGTGATTATGAGGGTAGCTACTTTAGGGAGTGATCAAGGAGGGCTTCTCTGAGGAGGTGACATTTAAGCTGAGATATCGACAATGAGAAGGTAACAGTCATGTATGGATCTAGAGGGAGAGCATTCCAGGCAGAGGAAACAGCAAGTGCTGAGACTCATTTATTCCTTCAGCAAATAGGTGAGCACCTACAACTACCGTGCTCACTGGGGACACAGCAGTCAACAAGGTAATCCCAGCTATTGCTCTCATGGGGCTCTCAATCTACCTGACAGAAAGGCATTGCCTAGGCAAGTGCACAGATGATGAGCTGATCACAGATGTCGTGAGTGCTCTAATGTAGTAGAGGGTCTACCAAGATGAGGTGCTCACAGCAAAAGCCAAGTCTTCCTCTCTTCTGTAGTCTCAATTCCTAGCCCAGGCTGGGCACATAAGTACTCAGGAAATGTTTGCTGAGTGACTGACTGAATGTTCATTTTCTTGGTTCCTGTCGCTGCCCCCTTCAGCCACCCTGGGTACCCTGGAATTCAGCCTTCTCTACGACCAAGACAATAGTTCCCTGCAGTGCACCATCATTAAAGCCAAGGTGGGTGATGGGGGCCAAGCGGGGGACCTCTCAGGATGCTCTGGCATGGCTAGGACACTCAGATGGGGAGGGGTAACCCGGCTTGTCTCCTGTTGTTGCTTATCTATCAATGACAATGACAGTGATTAGAAGAGTCACAGTAATTAGGTGCATTCCTTTCTAGGAGGACTTCCTCCTCCAAGGATGGTCCCGGGGTTGGGGGGGGGTTCACTTATCTGCAGCCACCTCCTGGGATTGCATGTAGCCAGGCTTCAAGGACAGAGCCAGCCTCTATCTGTCTGGGCTGGCAGTGTCTCTAGAGGGGATGGTGGAGGTGCTGCCCGGGAGGTGATGACAGTCTGGCTCAACAGCTGACATGGCCGTGGAACGGCCCCATCCCTGTGTCTGCCTGAGGCTCCTTCTGCTGAAGCGGCTGTCACGCTGGAGCAACAGCCGAGACACAGGGACACTAATATCTGCTTCTGAGGGGGTGAGACAGCCTTGCTGCAGGCTCCAGGGGAGTGAGGTGACTTGATTCCAGACCCCAGGAAAAAACCTGGGTGAAGCCAGTACAAACCCCAGAAAGTAATTGCCTGGGATTGCCCTTCCCATGCAAAGCCCCAAGTCTGGTACACACACACACACACACACACACACACACACCCAGCAAGGGCTCAGGAACCAAACTCCTTGGGTTTAGATACCAGCCCGGACTGTTCCTAGCTGTATGACCTGGGGAAAGTGACTTAACCCCTCTGTGTCTCAGTGTGCCCATTTGTAAATTGGGGGTGATAGTAGTGTCTCTTCCATAAGGATGGTCATGGGCACATGTTCCAGCTTGCCTAGGACAGTCCCCATCTGTGCCTGTTGCCTCACTATAATAATTAAGTGCTTCCTTTTCAGTCTTAAAATGTCTCGATTTGAATGATAAATGAGGTATGAAATGCTTAATATAACTCCTAGACCAACACATTCCTTTGCCCAAGTCACTTCTTTATTGAGCACTGATTACGTGTCAGCATTTATTGGACACCTAGTATGTATCAGCATTTATTGGGTACCCATACTATATCGGCATTTACTGGGCACCAAGTACGTATCAGCCTTTATTGCACACCTATTTACTGCCACTATGGCAAGCACTTAGATGCATTTAACACCCCACCGCCACCCGCCAATAACACAGTGAAGTAAGCTCATACATTATTTTGTTTCCTTTTTATAGAAACTTCTGAGGTAGAGATTCTTATTAGCCCCATTGTACAAATGAGGAAACAGGCTTAGAAAGTTAAAGCCTGAGGCCACACAGCTGGTAAGGGATGGAGCTGATCTTTACGGGCAAGATCTCATGTAATCCTCTAAGAGCTCCATGAAGCAGGAGTGGCTGCCAGCCCCACTAGACAGGTGGGGAAACAAGGTCCGAGGAGGTCACTGGACACAATGCAGTTGACCCTTGAGCAATGTGGGAGTTAAGTTAACCCCCTATGCAGCTGAAAATCTATGCTGTAACTTTTGATTCCCTAAAAACTTAGCTGCTACTAGCCTACTGTTGCCTGGAAGCCTTCCTGACAACATAAACCATCAATGGGCACATCTTTTATATACTTTAGGGTTATATACTGGATTCCTACAATAAAGCAAGCTAGCAGAAAGAAAAGTCAGCATTTATTGAGAATATCATAAGGAAGAGAAAATATATTTACTATTCATTAAATGAAAGTGGATCATCGTGAAGGTCTTCATCCTCATGGTCTTCATGTTGAGTAGGCTGAGGAGGAGGAAGAAGAGAAAGGGTTGGTCTTGCTGTCTCGGGGGTGGCGGAGGTGGAAGAAAATCCTCATGCAAGTGGATTCACACCGTGTTGTTCAGGGCCACCTGTGCATGGTATAAGTGCTGTGCAGTGGGATGGTAGGAGCCCAGAGGTGGGACATCTGCCTGGTCTGGGTGTAGGGGACGGACAGAGTGTGTCTAAGCTCCAGGAATTTGGGAATTGGTCATTTCAACAAATCAACTTAATTCCTACCTACCCAAACTACTTCCCTCCTCCATTGTCACTCACCCAAGCCTCATCACAGCCCTGATGGATGGAGACACTGAAGTCTCAGAAGTGAATGCAGGGGTCAGGGGCAGAATGCGGGAGTCCCCTCCTTCCCCATAGCCTCGCCCTTACTCTTCTGGAACATCTCCCCTCCTAGCAATAACAATCCAGCCTTGATCCAGTGTGTACCGTGTGCCAGCACTTTATAGGTAGAATTGCATTTAAATCTCACCACCTCATGAAGTGGGTACTGTTCTCATCCCCATTTGACAGGTGAGGAAACGGAGGCTCAGAGAGGTTAAGAAACTTGCCTAAGGTCATGTAGTCAGAAGGTGACATGGCCAGGCTTTAAACCCTGTCTTCCATCCCAGCACACTCTCCGTGATACTGCATTTCCCTTCTCTCTCTTTGGAGGAGGAAGCACACGGGGTGGACCAACAGGCAGGACAGATGCCAGGGGCTATGCCCATTGCTGATGACAGCTGGGCACTGGGCCCTCCTGAGGCCCTCACACCATTGCCTCCTTCTCTTGCAGGGCCTGAAGCCCATGGATTCAAACGGCTTGGCTGATCCCTACGTTAAGCTGCACCTCCTGCCAGGAGCCAGCAAGGTACCATATGGCCTGGGCTTCTCTGCAAACCTGGTGCATGGGCCCTGGCAGACACCCAGGGTTCTCAGCTCAGAGCCAAAAATAGCCTTATCTACCCCAAATCCCCACCCCCACCTCATCCTGTGAGTAGCAAAGTCATTGCAGAGCAAGTAAAGTATGTTCCAGGAGTCACTCTCCCTTGGGCAGCGGCTCTGAAACCTGGGATCTGCGGAGCTGCCAAAGCAGAAGAGAAGCAGATGCCCTGATGATGCCCTTCACCTGCTCAAATGCCCACAGTGGCTCTCCTAGTACTGACCCTGGCTCACCTCCCCCACACATTGTATGCCCCAACCACACACTCCTCATCTTGCAATAGAAATGAACAACTCTCTCCCAATTTCAGGACTAAACACTTTGGAGAATATTCTCTGAAGCCCCAGCCATCCCACCTTTCCCCTTCAGCTCACTGGCTGAGCATTGCTTTGCTCTGGGGTTAATTCTCCTCTCTGGGATTGGCCCACCCAGGGCACATGGCCGGAAATGGAAGTGTGCCTGCCTGGGCTTTGCTTTGTGCTTTGTGTTAATTTGACATAGACATCCTAAAGGCAAGGTAACTGTACATCTGTCAAATGATCTTCAGAAAATGCCTGTTAAATACCCCCTGCAAGCACCAAATGCTCCATGAGACAAAAGAGGACACATGTACTCACCTGCACACTGCCCCCACACTCAGCACACACACACACACACACACACACACACACACACACACACACTTTGTCTCACTCTTTTCTTTGAATCAAGGAAAGGCAGTTCCTCACCTGGCCATGGCCAAATTATGAAGTGTTTGGCCCCTGCTCCTCCTAACTCCCCAGTGATGTTTGCTTCCCCTCTAGATGCTCTGCTTTGCCCACTCCCAATAGCCAAAACTCCTTGGCCAAAGAATCTAATATGAATCATCTGCATGTTAGCATGAATTAGATTTGTCACCAGGCCACGTTTTCTGGGCATGGTTGCATTTTTAGCCTTCTCTCTCTCAGAGTAAAATGAAAATTATTGGCCCTGATACTATTTGGGGGGAACAGAGGGAACCGTCCCAATATCCCCTGCCTAAAAGGGAATGAGTAACTTATTTCTGTCTCCCTGACCTATAAATGATTTATTCTCAAAGGAAGGTCTCTCTGCTTTCTTAAGGGAAAGTTCAAGAAGGAGGCTCAGTGCATGGAGGGAGAGGGGACCCAGTGTCACATCCATTTATCTGTGGCCATGATCTTAGAGGACATCCCCCACTCTCTGAGAACATGCCTTTGGGAATAAGTAAGCCCCTGGACACTCCTAAGGGGAAAGCCACCCGCCCACTCCACATCAGCCCAAATGATGGGGTTCCAGGACTGGCTCCCCACTGAGGAAGGTGTCTCTGTTCATCTCTCTGGGGCTCTAGTCCAACAAGCTTCGTACAAAAACTCTGCGGAATACTCGGAACCCTGTCTGGAATGAGACTCTCGTCTATCACGGCATCACCGATGAGGACATGCAGAGGAAGACCCTCAGGTACCTGCTGGGCACAGGGCAGAGAGGGAGGTGAAGGGGAGACTCAGGCTGGGTGGAGCTGGGACTTGGGGTGAGGCCCCTAGGGCTTCACTCTAAAAAGATCTCTGCATAGTTTTTCTTTTTCTTGCTTGTTTACTTTTACCAAAAAAAGATATTTTTGGTAGAAATTTTGGAAAATACAAGTAAGTTGAAACTGTTTACTGTTAACATCTTGGTGTTTGGATGTTCAGTGTGTGTGTGTGTGTGTGCGCGTGCACACGCATATGAAATTTTTTTTCTAATAAAATTGAGTGCTTATAAAAATTATTACAATGGATCATCCCATTAATATGTCTGTATCACTTAATAATACATTAATGTCATTTCATATTCTTCTACAATGTTGAATTATTAGGCTGGTGTGGAAAGTAATTGCAGCTTTTGCCATTAAAAGTAATGGCAATATATATATATATTATATGCTATATATACATATATGTATATGTATATCTAGAACTTGCCTTTTTTTCTTAACAATATATCTTGGTGTTATAGCCATGAAAAGACATTTAGATCTACCTAATTTTCAACTGACTCAGCGTATTCCACAGAATGGATTTATCACAGATTTGTAAAAATATTACTATTCTTAAATATTACAAATGAATAGAAAAGTATAGAATATACTAAAACAAACATCCATGAACCCACCCAATACTTGATCTGTTAAAAAGTCTTGCTATTTTGCTAGTTTGCTCCAGCTGTTTTTTTAAGAAAGCACTCCCAGGGCTAGCTGAAGCTCCTTTTGTACATTCCACTCTCCCATCCTGTCCTGCTCTCTTCCTTCTCTCCCAAGAGCTAAACACCATCCTGAATTCTTTGGGTTTCATTCTCAAATATGTCTTATACTTCATAATTATGTATCTGTAAACAATGTACAGGATTGTTTGGCATGTTTTAAAATTTTCTGTAAATGTTTACCAGTTGATTTAGCCAATTCCCTATGGGTGGGAATTTAAATTGTTTCCAGCTTTTCTCTATTACAAACAAAGTTGCAATGAGCATACTTCATTCTTGCTTGTGTACATATGAGTGTTTCCTTAGGATAGAAACCAAAGAGAATTGTTACTGGATCATGGGATATGTAATGTTTTTCAAAACAATTTTTACAAGACATGCAAACTGCTTTCCAAATTGGCTGCAACATTATTCTAAGTAAATATTTTTATTGCAGCTTAACATTCATTTAGAAAAATGCACATATAATAAGTGTACAGATTGATGAGTTTTCACAACAGTGAACACACTGGGCTTAAGGAAGGGAACACTTCCAGACCACAGAAGCCCCCACTGTGGCCCCTTCCTGTGAGAGCCTCCCTGGGGTATTCAATATCCTAACATCTAATGGGACAAATTAATCTTGTCTGTTTTTATACTTTACATAAATGAAATTGTATTGTGTGGCTCTTTTGTATCTACATCCTTTCATCTGACATTACGTGTGTGTATTCATCCAAATTGTGTGTAGTTGTAGGTCATTCTCATCGCTGTTTAGTATTCTATTGCATGAACACAACAGTTTTATTTACCCAGTTTACTGTTGATGTATTTGGGTGGTGTCTAGTTTGGGGCTATTACAGATAGTGCTGCTAGGAACATTCTAGTAGCTGTTTCTATGTGTACAGGTACACTAATTTCTGTTGCATATATACCTAGAAGTGTAATGATTGAGCCATAAGATGTGGGTATGTCCAGCTTTAGTAGAAACTGCCAGTTTTCCAGAGTGGCTGTGCCAGTGTGCACTCCCATCAGCCATGTATGGGAGTTCCAGTTGCTTCACAGCCTCATCAACACTTTTTCATTTTAGTCACTCTGGTAGGTGTGCACTGGTATTGCATTGTGGTTTCACATTTCTCTGATGACTAAGTACAACATTGCCTTTAATGTATATGATTACATTTTATGGTTATTTCATAATTTTCTTGAGCAGTTCCTCCATTGTGGAGTATTTGTTGTTTCTGCTTTTTTCATAGTTATAAACAATACTGTGACAAACATCTTTGTTGTGAAATATATTTTTAATTTTTTTATATTGATATTCATGAGGTGTCTAATAATTTGACACAGGCATACAGTATGTAACAATCACATCAGGATAAATGGGGTTTATCACCTCAAACATTTATACCTTGTGTTATAAACAATCAAATTATACTCTTCAATATTTTTAAATGTCTGACTAAATTACTACTAACTATAATCACCCTGTTGTGCTATCAAATACTAGATCTCATTTATTCTAACTATTTTTTGACCCGTTGTAGTTAAATATTTTTGACCTTGCCTTATAATATCTTTAAGGTAACTTCCTGCAAATGGTGTTACAGGGTCAAAAACAGTGACCCTGTAAAATTCTTTTATGTCTTTGGAGATGCATTGCCCTGCAGAAGGATGATATCGTTTACACCTCAAGCAGCTCAGTCGAGACAACTTCTTTCTCCAGTTTTGTGTAGTGCAGGACTCAGCTATGAGGGTGTCTGTGCTCTCCAGGACTTTGAACATTTGTTCAACTAGTGTTGGTGGCCAAGGAGTGCAGTACCTTACAGTCCCTTCCTGTCCCCCAAGAATGCCTTCCATGTCATGGGAAGACAATAAGTCCTTTCTGATTCCCTATGGGTGAGCATTTAAATTTTAATGCTGTTTAATAAATGGTATTGGGAAAACTGGCTAGCCATGTTCAGAAAGCAGAAACTGGACCCCTTCCTTACACCTTACACTAAAATTAACTCCAGATGGATTAAAGATTTAAACATAAGACCTAACACCATAAAAACCCTAGAAGAAAACCTAGGCAAAACCATTCAGGACATAGGCATAGGCAAGGACCTCGTGACTAAAATGCCAAAAGCATTGGTGGTAAAAGCCAAAATAGACAAATGGGACCTAATTAAACTTAAGAGCTTCTGCACGGCAAAAGAAACAGTCATTAGAGTGAACCAGCAACCAACAAAATGGGAAAAAATCTTTGCAATCTACCCATCTGACAAAGGGCTAATATCCAGAATCTGCAAAGAACTAAAGCAGATTTACAAGAAAAAACCAACCCCATTCAAAAGTGGATGAAGGATATGAACAGACACTATTCAAAAGGAGACATATGTGAGGCCAACAAACACATGAAAAAATGCTCATCATCACTGGTCATTAGAGAAATGCAAATCAAAACCACATGGAGATATCATCTCATGCCAGTTAGAATGGCGATCATTAAAAAATCTGGAGACAACAGATGCTGGAGAGGATGTGGAGAAAAAGGAACACTTTTACACTGTTGGTGGGAGTGTAAATTAGTTCAACCATTGTGGAAGACTGTGTGGCTATTCCTCAAGGACCTAGAAATAGAAATTCCATTTGACCCAGCAATCCCATTACTGGGTATATATCCAAAGGATTATAAATCGTTCTATTATAAAGACACATGCACACGAACGTTCGTCGCAGCACTGCTTACAATAGCAAAGACCTGGAACCAACCCAAATGCCCATCAATGATAGACTGGACACATATCCAGAAAGAAAATGTGGCACATATACACCATGGAATACTATGTAGCTATAAAAAGAGATCAGTTCATGTCCTTTGTAGGGACATGGATGAATCTGGTAACCATCATTTTCAGCAAACTGACACAAGAACAGAAAACCAAACACTGCATGTTCTCACTCATAGGTGGGTGCTGAACAATGAGAACACATAGGCAGAGGGAGGGGAACATCACACACTGGGGTATGTTGGTGGGTGGGGGCTAAGGGAGGGACAGCAGGGGGAGGGGAAGTAGGGAGGGATAACACTGGGAGAAATGCCTGATGCAGAAAGCAAACCACCATGGCATGTGTGTACCTATGCAACAATCCAGCAAGATCTGCACATGTATTCCAGAATTTAAAGTACAATAAAAATAATGTAATCCAACTAAAACAATAAAAATTTAAAAATAAGTCCTTTCCTCTCTTAGTATATGTCAGGATAAATTTTTGTGCCATGACTGGTCCTTTTGGTCTCCTTAGGCAGCGGTTCCCAATCTTTTTGGCACCAGAGACCAGTTTTTCCATGGACTGGGGTAGGGAGAAGGATGGTTATAGGATGAAACTGTTCCACCTCGGATCATCAGGTATTAGATTCTCATAAGGAGTTTGCAAACTAGATCCCTCACACGTGGAGTTCACAATAGGGTTCTTGATTGTATAAGAATCTAATGCTCCTGCTGATCTGACAGGAGGCGGAGCTCAAGCAGTAATGCTTGCTCACCTGCTGCTCCCCTCCTGCTGTGCAGCTGGGCTCCTAACAGGCCACAGACTGGGACTGGTCTGTGGCCTGGGGGTTGGAGACTTGTCCTAAGGAACATTTCTTATAACCTGCCCTTTTTGTGCCGCTATTATTCAATACTGTGTAGGGTAGATAACAAAAGACAGTATGTTACTGTAGGATTCAGGGAGACCTGAATTCAAACCCTTGTTCTGCCTCTTATTAGGGAAAAATTATTTAATCTTTCTGGGGCCCAGTCTCTTCTCCAAATGCTAAATGCAGAGGTTTTGGAGGAGGAAAAATTAAATGAGAAAAGCTCCTAGCCTGGCTTTGCAAAAGAGGATGCTCAATTGGCCATAAAGTATATGAAAAGGAGCTCAACGTTATCAGTTACCAGGAAAATGTAAATTAAAACTACAGCGACATACTGTGATCCATTCAGAAAGGCTAAAATTAAAGACTGATGTAATTGAAGTCAAAGGCAATGGAGAGTGACCAGACCTTTATAAACTGCTGGTGGGGGCATCATTGGTGAAACCTCCTTGGAAAAACGTTTCAAAGTTTCTATTGAAGCCCAGCTTATGCCTAGTTCATAGCCAGCAACCCTACTCTTGGGAAAATACTCAATCAAAATATGCACATGTATATACCAAAAGACATGAACGTAAATGTTCCATAGCAGCATTATTCATAACTCAAAACTAGAAGCAACTTGTGTCAACAGCAGAATTATTATGGTATATTCACACAATGGAATACTATGCAGTAATAGAAAGGGTAAGTTATACTGTGCATGGATTCATCTCACAGACATAATCTTGAGCAAAAGGAGCTAGCATAAGAGTATATACTATATGATTCCATTTATATGAAGGTCAAAAACCAGACAAATGACTTTGTGTGGCCAGAGGCAAGAGAGTGGCAATCGTTGAGACAGGCAGTGACTAGAAAGGATCTTGAGGGTCTTCCAGGCTCTAGAACGTTTTATATCTTGACCTGGGTGGAAATTACATGGGTATATACATATGTAAAAATCCATCAAACTATAAACTATGTACTTTACTGCATGTCAGTCATACTGCAATAAAGGAGAAATTAAAGATACTTGGCCCAGTGATAAAAAAAATAGGAAATCATATTTCCATGTATGTTACACATTCCTTACCAGCATCAGTTACAGCTCCTGGCACATAGCAGGGGCTCAATATTTGATCCTGTTTCTCTCTTCACCCCCTTGTTTGGTGACAGGATCTCTGTTTGTGATGAGGACAAATTTGGCCACAATGAATTTATTGGGGAGACCAGATTCTCCCTCAAGAAACTGAAGCCCAACCAGAGGAAGAATTTCAACATCTGCCTGGAGCGAGTGATTCCTGTGAGTGATTTTCCCCTGAAGATCTGATGGGAGGAGGGGAGATTGGGGGAGCTGCCTTCCTCTGGGTCTGAATTTGGGGAAATAGATCCAATTTCCCCCAATTGGGTAGCAGAGGCACTGCAGCGGTCTGCAGAGGAGAGTCAGGATTCCAGCTCAGAACCTCAGGCTGCATGCTCTCTCTGCCTTTCACAAACCCTATGTCAGCATCACTTCAAACATGAGTTCTCCTTGGCCAAACTGGAAGGACAGCATGGGCTTCCTGGGTTCAGAGCCAGCCCTGCTACTTGCTATTCCATGGCCTTGGCCAAGGGACTGAACTACTCCGTGCCTCGGTGTTCTTGTCTGTGATGTGGGTGTTCCAACAGCACCTGCCTCTTGGGAGGGTTGTGTTTTAAAAAATAATATAATGGGTATAGAACTTAGTGCATAGTAAGCACTCATAAATGAACAGTTGTTAGTGTAGGAAATAATATTGCCTTACTCGCCTGTCAGTCAGGGAGTCAGAAAGCACCATGTAGGTTAACAGGAGGCAGCATATTCTAGAGTTTAAGAGTGTGGGCTGTGCAGCCAGACTCTCCGGGCTCTGCCACTTAACCTGAGGCAAATTATTTAATTTCTCTGGGTCTCAGGTGTCTTATTGTAAAGTGGGATACTGTAGTGCTAACCTCATGGGATCTCTTAAGGACTGAATGCGATAATACATATGAAATCTTAGAACTGTCATGGTTGTTGCCAGATTGTGACTGTTGCTCTTCGAGAAAATAACAAGGATGAAAATGAGTTTCTGCAATTGGGCTGCACCTCAGAATTTAAAACCAGAGCTTTACAAACTAAGATTTGTGGGGGTCTCCTCTGGGGACTCTGTTTTAGTGGGGTAGGGAAGGATTCAGCAATCTATATTTTTAGAGATAATGCAGGCTGCCTTGCCTTACCTGTCAGCCAACTTGGGCCCAGAGAGGGGAGCGGGTCTCCAAGGTCTTGGCACCATCCAGAGCCCAGCTCTCCTATAATACCAGCACCCCTGGTCTCTCTGGGCATCCAGCCTGCTCTCCACAGGGAAGCTATGGGGTACAGGAGGGGAAATCCTGCAGCATCCTCCAACCAGATGGCCAGCCCAAGGATGGAATATCTTCATGCCATGCCATGGTTTTATAGCGCAGGCAAAGGAACAAGGCCCAACAAGGAAAATTGTAAGGAAGAATTTCCACTAAATTCCAGGCTCAAAATAAATCCTTAAAGACAGCCCTAGGAGTGAGGCATTTCTTCTGGACTTTTGCCAGAAAGTCTTCAGGCTGGTTCTTCAGGCTTCTCTTCCTTCCCCAACTCCATGAGTTCAGTTGGCCAGGACAATGGCTAGGCCCTTGGCTGGGCCATCAGCCTTTGAGTCTGCCCATCTTGCTATGGTGGACACAGCCAGCTCTGGAGACATGGAGATGCAGGACAGCCAGAGGGCTGCAGCAGCCACAGAATGCTACTGATCATCTTTTGCTCTTTGTCATTAAACCTTACCCCTTGCACCACCAGCTTCACCCATTATGTCCCACTGAGGACAGGGGCCCCTCCCCTCTAGACCTCAGGTTTCCTCCTCTCCAAAGTGGGGAAGTTAGATTTAACCAGTGATTTTCCAACTCTGTTTCCCAGAAACTTAGAGTTCAGCAAAAGGGCCCCAGGGACCATGAAGGGAAAACGTGCCTGGTGGGTCAGACCACAAGATCCCTGAGCCATTTCAACCAGAGAAAATGAAATCTTGTCTGTTTGTGTGTGGAGTGCTCTGACATTTATTGTCTGTGTGATTTTGGGTAAGAGGGTTGGCCACTCAGACCCTCAGCATCCTCATTTGTACAATTGGAATTGTAACAGAATTTATATCACAGGTTGTTATGCACTCACATACTTTGCCATATGGCTATGTTTTATAAATTTTAGCTAAAAGGGAGAGTAGGGGGGCCGCAGTAGCTTAAGAACCCACCCTTATGGCTCTGGATGCTCATGGAAGTGTGAGCAGTTTCTGGTGCTTCTTGTGTAGGAAGATGAGCTCCATAGACAATATTATCTTTTATTTGCTTCCTTCTTTTAAGATGAAACGCGCCGGGACCACTGGATCAGCCCGAGGCATGGCCCTTTATGAGGAGGAGGTAAGCACTGAGCAGGAATTGAAGCCACAGTCGGGGTCTGTGCTAGGATAACATCTTCCTCTTCTCTCCCTCCCTGGCCCCTTTCTCACCCATTCTCTTGCAACCACCCCGCTGTTGATTTGCCTTGAGAGCGACCCTTTGCCCAAGTTGTTTGAGCATGAGACAAGGGATGTCCTCTCCATACCTGAAGCCTCTGAGGAGCAGGCAGCCCCTTCCTCTCAGACCCAGGACGCCCACCAGGTTTTTGGCCTTGTGGTCAGAAGCTCTGTTGACAATTCCACTGACTACAGCAATGGCACACTCCTTTCTTGGAGTGGATGCATTCTTTGAGCTGTGTGCCTGGCAGAAACTGAACTAAGCCTTCATGCTCTCTGCCTGGGTCCCTCATATGACCCCAGGGACTATCCTTTGAGAAGACTGGTTGCATTAAGGGAGTCTGAGATCAGAAGCAGGAATCTGGCTGGGGTCAAGGCTCAGTCCTGAGTCAGAGTCAAAGTCAATCAGTGACCAGGAGCAAGTTTAATCTGTGCTCACAGTCAGAGCTCATCCACGTCTAAGTCAAAGTAAAGCCATCGGTCCCCACTGGTCCCCTGACTTTCACCACTGGCTCCTCCTTGGAGGCGAGGCCGTCTGCTGTCCTTGGTGCTGACTCCCTAGAGCTGGCCGAGCTCCATCTGCCCTTCATAGGCTTTTCCCTAAGGCTCACCATCCACATTGCCTAGCCCCCTCCCCTCCGAGGCCCACACTGCCTTTTCCCCCAATGCAGCAGGTGGAGCGTATTGGTGACATTGAAGAGCGTGGCAAGATCCTGGTCTCCCTCATGTACAGCACACAGCAGGGAGGCCTCATTGTGGGCATCATACGCTGCGTGCACCTGGCTGCCATGGACGCCAATGGCTACTCAGACCCATTCGTCAAGCTGTAAGTCAATGCCTTGGGGTCATAGGTGGACCCAGAGGAGTCCTGGATCCTTGGAAAAGGAGAACCAGAGAGTTTCCCCAAGATCATTGTACATTGAGACCCAGAGAGGGCAAGGAACCTACCCAAGGTCACAGTGAAACAAATGCCTAGAACTGGCAAGAATGTGGGTCTGGAGTCTCAGGCAGTTAGACTGCTGTGCCACTTGCCCACATGCAAAACTTTGTGACTGTCCTCTCCAGGGGCTGGTGATGGCTCTACAACTATGCTGATTAGTTGTTGTAGCCCCATTTGTAGCTCCCAGGAGTTGGCCGCACACCCCTCAGACTGCTTAGACCTCCACCACCAAAGAGGCCATCTGGCATTTTCCAGATTCATTCTGGAAATGTTCAGAAAAAAATGCCTTAGATTTGGGGACTATTTCAGTAATCTCAATCGTGGAGAATAAAAGACACTTTGTTATCTCTGTTAGTCCAGATCCTCTGAGAAGAAGATGCCAAAATAGGATTAAGTAGACAAAGGGTTTTTCAGGGGAAATACTCATTTCAGGAGGTCTAGAGGGAGTCAGAGGAGAAAGGGAGAGATGTTAGACTACAATGTAAGTCTGACCTGAATGAGGGGAATAGACAGGGAAGTTGGAGGGAAGCATTGTAGATACAAGTTCAGTAAGCCCTCCAGGGAGTCCTCAAGCCAAAATTGGCCATCAGATGTGTCCTGTGTCTTGTAGGAGTGGGCCTACCTTAGCATCCCTGCAAGGCCCTGTCATTGGCTGGGAGCATGGCCTTGGCACAAATATGTCATGCACTTCCAAGCACTGCATCTGGGGCCTTGGTCAGTTACACTTCCTGTAGTTCGAGGTCTGCCGGGTGCAATTTCATGGCCACCACTGTGTCAGACATCAGGCCCCACTCCCGTCTCTGCCAGCTGCTAGCTGTGGACTGTAAGCAAGCTATTTAGCTTCTCACTCAGTTTCTTTATTGGTAAAATGGAAACAAGAGTTCCACTTATCTCCAAGAGCGGGCTTAGGGCTCAAATGAGATGGCACATAGAAAGCAACCAGAATCGAGCCTGGTACAAAAATGTTTAGCACCTCAGTAGAATTCTGCTGACCTTGGGGCAGCGACATGTATGTTTCTGTGGATATGGATCTCCATGGAGCATGGAGTCTCCAGTATGCTCTAGCTATGTGACCAGGGGCTTATGGCTTAACATCTCTAGTCTTCAATGTCCTCATCTGCAAAATGGAAAGAGTAATACTGTGTATGAGTTCAGGTGCTCCAAGAAGGAAACACCAAGAGAAGATAAGATGTGTGAGAGATTTGTTGGAGAAAATGCCTGTAGAGGAGGTAAGGAAGAATCCAGAGGGGACCCACAGAGACAGCAGACCTGCTAAGGTGTGATCCTGCTGGAGCAGAGAAGGAAGGACGTTTGAGTAGAAAGAATCTACACAAACACCCATCAAAGGAGTCCTGCCTCTCCCAGAAATGGGGCTGCCTAATGTTCCTGTCAGGGTTAGTTATTGGCTAAGAACAGCTTGTGGGAAGCGTGGCTTCAGCAACAACATCATGAATGCCGAGTCTAGTAGCTTGTCCGTCAGTCTCACCCCCTGAAATGGAGAATGCAGGCTGAGAGGTGCATTTCCAAGGGGTCTGGTACATAGTAAATGCTCAATAAACACATGTCATTATGGTTATAAATAACCACCATAACTGTTCTTACTCATGGCAAAGAGTCTTTACTAATATTCTCTCCAGCTGGGAGACATTCCCCCCACCTCCACTGCCTCTGATAACAGAAAACAATACTTCCCTTGAATCCACAGCCAAAGAACAGATTCATGTGGGCTGTCTGTCAGATTTCTTTTGAATGAAGATTTAGTTAACAAAAACCACACATGTCAGGAACAAGTTTGGTTTCTAAGAGTAATTTGGTTTTATTTCCTCATATGACCCAAGAGAGGGAATGAGCTCAAGGGGTGCTGTCCAGCACTCCATTAGCAGTCAGCCATGTGCAGATTGGTTTTCTTAAATAATTCTCTTTACCACTCCCTCCCCCACCCACACACCCAGTCCTTCCAGAAGAAGTAGAGTTGCCGTGGTCACCAGTGAAGCAGCTGTCCTACTGGCTGCAGTTATGGGAGAAGAAATGGGAGACCACTAAGCAGTTTCTGATCAAATAAATTTTATTTATTTGTTTTTTATTTAGACAGAGCCTTGCTCTGTTACTCAGGCTAGAGTGCAGTGGCACAATCTTGGCTCACTGCAACCTCTGCCTCCAGGGTTCAAGTGATTCTCCTGGCTCAGACTCCCAACTAGCTGGGATTACAGGCACCCACCACCGCACCGGGCTAATTTGTGTGTGTGTGTGTGTGTGTTTTTTTTAGTAGAGACGGGATTCACCATCTTGGCCAGGTATGGGTAACCCCCATATAGGCACTGAGGAAGGAGACTTAAGCAGAACCCTCGCACAGTTAGGGCTTAAAAAACATCTCAGATTATAGTGTTACTATTTAGCTATTTCCTTTTATATAATCCTTTATATAATTATATATTAGTTTGCAGAATTAGGGCTTGAAGAATTCCTTTATATAATCCTCTCTATATAATTATATAATAGTTAATAGTATAAGTGCCTAAGAAATATTTCCTTACATATATATATATATATAATTATATCTTAGTTCATAATCGGAGGAATGCCTAGAGTGGACACAGTACAAAGCATGAATTAAGAAATAAGCAGCTTATAATCAGAGGAATGCCTAGAGCAAACACAGTGCAGAGCATAATTTAAGGGAAAAACCGTTATACCAGGACAAGAATCCATGGCCCAGGCGGCAGCATTTGGTACCGTAAAGATACCCGCTGTATGTCAGGCTTGAGGCAAGAGCCACTCTTCCCAAAAAAGGAGTTGTAGGACCTTGCTCCAGTTCTTGTGGAAGGCTGCCCTTAGCCCGGCAATCTACCTTGGTGACTGTGAACTTTATCAGCTCTTGCTACTGTGCTGCTCGGAAATTATCTTCCCATAAAACTCACTGGAAGCTGCCAGCAGGTGGCAGTAACCCTAACAGCTCTGTCACTACTGTGTAACTTAAAGCATCCCCCCAAAAATCTTTTTAGAAGTAGTTTGCCCATAAATAGACGTATTGCACACTGCACCCTCTTCACTGCGCATGACCCACCTTCAAGCCTCAGTGACCTAATGGGGGTGGACCCCTTACCGCACATGGCCCTTGCCTTAATGGAAATGGGCCCCTTGCTGTGCACAATCCACCTCCTAGCCTAGGTGACCTAATGGAGGTAGACCCCTTGTTTTATTGCTCACAACCCTAGCACTATCCTTAAAGATAATTTCACTCACTGCCCTTCCCCCTAACCTATACATAATAAATACTCAGGCTTCTGAACATTCAAAGCCTCGCCTAACTCCACTCATAGATGGCGTGCCCCCCAAGCCTAGCTGCATTTTCCTTGTACTTCTGTGTCCTGTCTCTTTATTTCTCAAATCCTGTGCCTTAGCACAGCATAAGGAACACCCCACAACCCTGTTCAGCCCTACAGCCAGGCTGGTCTTGAATTCCTGACCTCATGATCCACCCACCTCGGCCTCCCAAAGTGCTGGGATTTTACAGGTGTGAGCCACCGTGCCCAGCCAAATAAAGATTTTTTAAAAGAACTAACTACCCATTACTTTTGCTTAGCTAACTTTTAATTCCTCCTTTTGTCTCTTCTTAAAAATTATCCTCAAAACCAGTTCTGTAGATGAGAGTAAAATGTTTGCCTTCTTTACAGGTCAAGAAACGGAGGCACAGCAAAGTTACGCTCTTGTTTAAAGTTGCTCAGCTGGTGACAACCTGAATCAGAATCCAAACGTCCCAACCTAAACTCCTAAAACAGGAGTTTTACTCACCCAGGACATATTTTGTTTGGTTTGGTTTGGGTTTTGTTCTCTCTCTTTTTTTTCTAAGAGACAGGGTCTCGCTCTGTTGCCCAGGCTATAGTTCAGTGGTGTGATCATAGCTCACTGCAGCCTCAAACTCCAGGGCTCAAGAGACCCTTCTACCTCATCCTCATGAGCACCTGGGACTGCAGGCATGCACCACTGTGCCAGCTTATTTTTGTTATTTTTTATAGAGACAGGCTCTCGTTATGTTGCCAAGGCTGGTCTGGAACTCCTAGGCTCAAGTAAGCCTCCCGCTTCGGCCTCCCAAAGTGCAGAGATTACAGGCATGAGCCACTACATCCAGCCTCACCCAGAAAATGAGTATCTACTATGTGCCAGACATTATGCCTCACTAGAAAAGAGCCCTATAGGCAGAAGAAACAGTTTGCTCAAAGGCCCTTGGGTGGAAAGGAGGAGCAAGGAGTGGGGTGAGGAGGATGGCATAAGGTTAGACTGGGATGGAGCAGAAACCCAACCACATAGGGTCTTAAAGCCACATGAAGGATTTTGAACTCTCCCGAGTTAAAAAAGAATCCAGTGCATAGTTTTGAGCAGTGGAGTAACAATAATCAGATTGGCATCCCCCCGCTTTCTGTGCACACACCCAGCATCTCTCCAGGGAATGGGGACAGCCTAAGGTGGGATAGATGGTAAAATGTCAGGCACCACCAGGCATGGCCATCAATTTGATTTATGAGGAGAAAGTGAGCACACTAAGAACACAGACTCCAGATGCAACATCTGGATTCGGTGCCAGCTGTGTGAGCTAGGGCACACTGAACCTCTCTGGATCTCAGTTTCTGGGTCTGTAAACTGAGTGGTTGTGGTTCTACTGCCTAGGGTCATGTGAGGATTACACATACCTAAGGTGCCCAGTCAAGTGCCTGGTACCAAGCAGATGCTCTAATGCACATTGGTCATCGTCAATGTTGATTCCCTTTCTGACGTATTCATCAATTCGTCCTGATAAAGAAGGAGGCTTTGGGGTCAAGAGGCTGTTCTTACTCATTAAACATCATCCGTAACAGCAACTTGTGTCTCCTCCCAGCTGGCTGAAACCGGACATGGGAAAGAAGGCCAAACACAAGACTCAAATTAAAAAGAAAACCTTGAATCCCGAATTTAATGAGGTAAGGCTGCCCCATTCTTTGTCATGCTCTGGGATATTCACTGTGTTGGAGAGGCACAAATTCCTACTAGAAGGTTGTAAGTTACATAAAAAAAAAAAACACTTTCTGTGATAGATCAGATTGAATTATCTAAAGAAGAGGGAATGAGTTCCTTGTCACTGGAAGAAATCAAGCATAAGACAAAAGCCTACAGATGAGGAATGTCATAGGGAGGAAGCAAGCAGTGTTTGGGAAGAGATTTAACTAACTTGTCTCCAACGTCTTCACCAACTCAAGTGGCCTGTAATACTGGAATTCGAGGGAATAAATAGGAACAGCAATGCTCTTTACCATCCAACCCGTTGGCACTGCCCTGTCCTTCACTCCTCATGTCCATCAGTGCATCAAGTCCTGCTGAAACTGTTCAGACACCCATCGAATATGCTCCTTCCTCTCCATTCTCACTGCTACGGTCTTGCAGAATTTCCTCCTGCAGATGTGCTTCCTCTATGTTTTCAGACTCTGTGCATCCCCCCAGCTCACACTGCCCATCTGGATTTCAATTCTCTGTGGACAAGTCTGTCAGACACTAGGAGTCCAGAAATATCTGTGAAATTAATGAAGGGTTGAATGGAGGAAAAAGTGGAAGAATAAATGCGTTCTAATATAACTCACATGTATGGTTCTGATCTAGACCTAAAAAGAGAAAGAAGTGCCATTAGATTCCAGCTCTGAGCCCAGAGCCACATCTCTTGTCCATGCCCAGAGCAGGAATAAGTCCATGTTCTACCCTCCATGCCTGCCTGGGGCAGCCCTGGGTGCTTTTCTACCCACTTAATCTCCTTTCTCTTCCCTGCTCCTGAGATCCAATGTTGGGTCAGAGCTGGCTAATATTGATTTTCATCACATATTGCAAAGTGGGGAAGTGAAATTACAGTGCAATAGGTTTAGTATTGCTTACTTTAGAAAAAAAAAATAATAAAGAAGGTGGCCGGTCGTGGTGGCTTATGCCTGTAATCCCAGCACTTTGGGAGGCTGGGGCCAGCAGATCATGACATGAAGAGATCGAGACCATCTTAGACAACATGGCGAAACCCTGTCTTTACCAAAAATACAAAAAGTAGCTGGGTGTGGTGGTGCGCACCTATAGTCTCAGCTACTCGGGAGGCTGAGGCAGGAGAATCGCTTGAACCCCAGAGGTGGAGGTTGCAGTGAGCTGAGATCGTGCCACTGTATGCACTCCAGCCTGGTGACAGAGCAAAACTCTGTCTCAAAAAAAAAAGAAAAAGAAAAAAATGAAAAACATACACGCATATGCACCCACGTGGGGAATGTGCCATGCAAACAGAGCTCAGAGTCATCATTGACCAGTGAGTTCAGCCCTTCCTTCCCAGGCTCCTTTTTCAGCTGAACCCCTGATTTCCTAATTCATGTCATGGGTTTGGAGTAAGGAGCCATTTATAGCTGTCCTGCCCTACACTCTCCTGGAATCTGAGCGAGTCACAAAACATGAAATCCTAATAAATGCATTAGCCATAAATCAAGACCAGACACCATATCACATAACAAACGGATGCAAAAATATTTTTAAATGTTGGTCCTCAGCATCAGTGAGCATGTGGGAAAATGCACACACTACTGGAGAGAAAACAATCTCTGAAGGAAAGTTTGTCAAAACACTTTCAAAACTGTCCAATGTTAAAAGTTAAATTCTACTTATTTGGGGAACAGGTAGTGCAGTCACATATTTCAAAATTCAGAAAGCGCAAGAGGCTATCCAATTACAGCCCCCCTCCTACCCCAGCCTTCTTGGTACCTACTTCATTTCTTATGAAGCAAATATATTATCCATGTTTGAGATGTTTATACGTATGCAAAGCATATGTGTTACACATATACACAAGTATATGTGTAACCAGCTTTCTCATGGTTCACACATGGCATCACAGTGTAGCCACTATTCACCATCTTAAAATTTTACAAACTCATTCACTTGTCAGAATTTATTCTAAGTAAATATTCATGGATGTACATAATGATTTATCTGCAAGGGTGACTTTTTAAAAATGTATGTAATGATTTAACTTCAAGGGAGATTTTTTTTTTTTTTGAGACAGGATCTTTCTCTGTTATCCAGGCTGCAGGGCAGTTGGTACAATCTCAGCCCACTGCAACCTCCACCTTCTGGGCTCAAACAATTCTCCTGCCTCAGCCTCCCAAGTAGCTGGGATTACAGGTGTCCACCACCATGCCTGGCTAACTTTTTGCATTCGCAGTAGAGACTGGGTTTCACTATGTTTGCCAGGCTGGTTTCAAACTCCAGGCCGGTCTCGAACTCCAGGACTCAAGAGATCTACCCAGCTTTGGCCTCTCAAAGTGATGGGATTTTGGCATGAGCCACCACACCTGGCTGCTACAAGGGTGACTTTTATGGTATTTTTTATGATAGTGAAAAATTGGACATAACCTGAACACCCAACTGTTAAGGATTAGATTTTGGTATAGCCACATAGCCATTAAATGCAGCCATTTTAAATGATGATGTAGAAAAAATATTTGAGAACGTGCTAAGTTGGTTATGCCCTAAGTTGTAAATGGAAAAAAGGAAGTGACAATACTGTATATTCAGCATTACTTAATTAACAAAAAAATTTATCCATCCCTGTAAACACATGCGGGGGAATGTCAATAGTGGTTATTCTTAGGTAGTTGGATTACACGTAATTTGGGGGGCTTTCTTGTTTTAACAATGAACATAAATGAATTTTATAATTAGGCAGAAAAGCTAGTTTTTAAAAAATCAGATTGTCTGGGAACATATGTACTCAGTCTGCTTCAATTATTTTATTTATTTATTTTTTATTTCTTTTTTTTATGACAGAGTCTTGCTCTGTGGCCCAGGCTGGAGTGCAGTGGCATGATCTCGGCTCGCTGTAACCTCTGCCTCCTAGGTTCAAGTGATTCTCCTTCCCCAGCTTCCCCAGTAGCTGCAATTACAGGCGCCCACCACCATGCCTGGCTAATTTTTGTATTTTTTGTAGAGATGGGGTTTCACCATGTTGATCAGGCTGGTCTCAAACTCCTGGCCTCAAATGATCTGCCCACCTCAGCCTCCTAAAGTGCTGGGATTACAGGTGTGAGCCACCGCACCCAGCCAGTTCAACTACTTTTAATTCCTAACCAATAAAAAAGGAGAAGCCCCTTAAGAAGCTGGAGGGGTAGGACTGAGTTCATGGCCATTCGCCTACAAGGAAGCTTGAGCTCTATTAGAAAAACCTCACCAGCCTTCCCAATTTCAAGTGCAAAATTCACTGAAAAGAGGATGACAGTGCTTTGTTACACAGAATGTTTGTCGGAAGGGGATCACTGAACCCGGGGCAGAGGATCACAGCCAGAAGACCTCCTTGCTCCCAGAATGCCAGCTCAAAGACTTCTCCTTGGCCCATGACCCCTAGGACTCGGCATCTTAGCTCCCAGTGCTGAGGGCTCAGAGGGCTCTTACTCATATGTCTTCCTCTGTTGTGTCCAGGAGTTTTTCTATGACATCAAACATAGTGACCTGGCAAAGAAGTCACTGGACATCTCGGTCTGGGACTATGACATCGGCAAGTCCAATGATTACATCGGTGAGTGTTCTTAACTCCAGAGAAAATGGCCTCCTCTGTCCTCCCCAGAACAGGAGAGCCTTATTCAGGGCCATGGAGAGTTTAGGTCACTCCTTTTCTTTTGGCAACCACATTGTTCAAATGCTAAATTGAGACCCACGGTCCTGACCTCGGTCCGATTTTGGGATGTCTTCACATGAAACAGCTTACAAAACTTGATTATTTGTTAAACAAATCACCTCGAGTGGAGTAATTAAATCATAGGAGAGATGTGCGTTCTCTGCAGAAAGCAAGGTGCAAAATAATTCTTCTTAATTTATTTGCATGTCCAGGATAAAGGTTTAATTTTTTAGTCCCTCTCCAAATCATGAAGAAGAAAATCAATTAAAGATGAAGTGGGAGTGAGGGGTGGGGATCCTAGGCAAGGGGCAGAGCCTGAGCTAAGGGGCAAAGACAGAATTGAGCAGAATGATGAAACTGTTTGGAAATAGATGGCGAGTTCCTAGAAGTAGTGGGAGATAAGTTTCAATGAGTAGAGTGGTGGATTGTAGAAATACTTCACTGTCTATTTAAAAATAGACAGTGGAGTTTTGACTCAGTGCAACAGTAGGGAACCATTGCAGGTTCTTGAAGCGGAGAAGGCCAGCAGTAGTAATAACAAAAACAACAACAGCATTATAACAACAACTCTCTATAGAGACTGGATCCCAAGTTGCTGGGAGTCACTGCATGGTGCAGTTTTTTCCCCAACTACACATTTAGGTCTAGAATGACCTCTATTCTGACCACCTGCTTCTATCTTCCCATTTATCCTCCAGGAGGCTGCCAGCTGGGGATCTCGGCCAAGGGAGAGCGCTTAAAACACTGGTACGAGTGTCTGAAAAATAAAGACAAGAAGATCGAGCGCTGGCACCAGCTACAGAATGAGAACCATGTGTCAAGCGATTAGGCTAGTGCCCAGGTCCCCAACTCCATGTCCTGCCCCATGCCCAGTTCCCCCCCCAAGTCTGCCCCAGCTGCCCACCGCACCCTGGTCTCTCTTCTCTATGCCTACCTCCCTCCATCCCCTGCTGCTCTCCCTGAGCCTGCCTTTGAGCCCCCGTCATGTTGGGCACTGCTGCCAAAGACTCCCTCCTCCCTGATGCTGGGATGCGGGCTCTGAATACAGCTCCTCTCTGGTCCCTGGGATGGAGCAGTGGGGATGGGGATGGGGAGATGTTTACAAAGAGGTTGCTCATTTAATAACCCCTTAGTTTGGGTAAATTACAAAGGTTCATCATTTAGGACTTTTTAGACCCTCCTGGCCTTGCACACGCACACGCACACACACACACACACCCTTTCATTCCCTGTGTCGTGTCTCTGTGTACCCTCAGTTGTCAGCAGACCCGGACAATGCTGTGAGGACAAGCATTGGGGCAGAAACAGAGGCTCCAGGCTCCCACTGCCCCCTGAGACACACACCCTGATTGCCGGGAAAACGGACCACTGTGTTCGGGGACACCCCCTCCCCCGGCCAGTTTCAAGTGCACCGAGACACAAAGGCACAGAATTCACCGAGGGGCCTGAACACTCTCCTCTTTCTGAATGTCACCTGCGTGCTTCCTAGCAAAACAAAAACAACAGCAAAAAACCCTTCCTCTGTCACCTTTTCTCCTCCTCCCTCTTCTTTCCCTAACTTTCATCACAGTAGATTCTCCCTTTCTCAGCCTCTCCCCTCTTCTTTCTCTCCCTGCCTCTCTCCCCTTTGCCTTTCTCTCTCTCTCTCTCTCAAGCAGTAACACAGCAAAAAAGTATATCTTAACCCAGCCTAACCTCTTCACCTCCTGCCACCAGCCTGACCAGGAAACTGAGAAACTGGCCCAAACCTGAGGTTCCATTTGGGCCCATGCTTTTTAAGTGGCCCACTTCTGTTGGCAGAGCCAAACGTTCCCAGGCCTCGGGCCAGTGGCTGGCACTGCTCTGGGTGCACGGCAGCATCCCTCGAGCTGTGTAGATGCCCATAGAGGGGCTCTCTCATCCACAGGCTCCCCAGGTGGGCACAGGAGGCATTTAGAAGACCAGGGCATATGGGTCTGAAGGAGCCTCATCCAAAGCCTCCAGCCTTTCTCCTTTCTCTGCTCGTATGTAGATGACACGCTACGCCCCTCCCCCGATGCTCTTTGACCCCGTTTCATCGACTGTCTTGCATCCTGTCTCTTACTCAAAACCACCTCCCGTCTTTCTCTCTTCGTCTGTCTCTCTGTCCCCTTCACAGTCTTTCCTGAGCTTCCTGGGAGAATCAAATAACATCATGGCTATGAAACAGTAGAGTGACAGGCTCTGACGTCAGAGGCTTTGGGTTCATCATCAATCTTTTACTAACTAAAAAAAAAATTATTTTACAAAGGGGTAAAAGGCAATGTGGGCAAACATTACAAATTTGAGGTTGAAGTCAGGCAGTCTTCAGTGCCCCGTGAGAAAGGTTTGATTTTTCCCAATTTCGATGAAGTCTTCCCTCATGAAAACCACCCCAAGTCATCCCAACCCCCCAACATTCTCTACAGAAGCATCAGACAGATACTCATGCCAAATCACATCTCTTAACTTTTCAATGCCCTCCACCCTCAGCTCCCTGCACAATTCATGGGAGGACTCATTTCTTGCCTTGAATAACCATCTTCTAAACATCAAGCTTTTCATCTTCCCCAAGGTGACCAACCGCTTCCTGGCCGCCATCTTTCCTTTTGACCCTGTCTTTCCCCATTAGTCCCTGGTGGCACCTACCCTCAGCCCACCTCCCTCCCACAGTTTCCCCTTAGGAGGCAGCATGCTGGCTGTGTCGCCCAAGCCTGATGCTGGTGTAGGCGCTGAAATCAGCATGCAGCAAGCTCACGGTGCCCCTCGTCTGGGTGCACGCTCTCCCCGACAAATGTAACCGCCTCCCCTCCTAGAATACACTCACATCCTCCGGTGCATGCACGTCCACCCAGCATCTTTCTTTGTGGTGATGTAGCCAAAAATAAAGTAGAGACATCCAGGAAAATGAGTGGGCTGCATTTTTCCTTTCTGGTTTCAGCAAAGTCTTCCTCCCCACCAGGACATGTGCAACTCTGATAGTCAGTATTTAATGAGCATCTACTATGTTCCAGGCACTGGAGACAGATGTGTTCCCTGTGCACGAGGAGTTTGCTTTCTGGTGGATTTTTTCTTGGGCAGGTGGGCTTAAGGTAACATGGCTGACTCCAAACCCTTTTAGAAGAATACTTTTTGCTGGTACCCACCAAACAGAAAGGCAGCATCTTCATCCTCCTCCTCCTGCTACAAGACCTGGGAAAAGTCTCAAGTTATTGCAGAATCAGACATTGTCAAAGCTAAAAAAGAACATAAAATTGAGCCAGCATCTAGTTCAATCAACTCACGTTTTAGGCAGATGAAGAAACCAAGGCCTAGAGAAGAAAATGCCATGTCCAAGCTTCAAAAAGGCAATACAGGAAAGGAGATGGATTGTTGGACCCCCAGAGTGTGGTGTTCTTAACTGACTGATGAGCATGAGCCATCAAATGCCTCCCTTGCATTCTAGCACCTTCCAACCTATAATCAGTCTCTCATTGGAGATTCCTAATAGTTCTGAAGGTGAACTGAGTAACTAAGTTTCCAGAAGAATTTTTTTTTTTTGAGATGGAGTCTCCCTCTGATGCTCAGGCTGGAGTGCAGTGGTTCCATCTCAGCTCACTGCAACCTCCACCTTCTGGGTTCAAGTGATTCTCCTGCCTCAGTCTCCTGAATAGCTGGGATTACAGGTGCCTGCCACCACACCTGGCTAATTTTTGTATTTTTAGTAGAGAGAAGGTTTCACCAAGTTGGCCAGGCTGGTCTCGAACTCTTGACCTCAGGTGATCCACCTGCCTTGGCCTCCCAAAGTGCTGGGATTACAGGTGTGAGTCATCACATCTGGCCTCTGGAAGAATTCTTAATCACACTATAATCCATCCCAAAAGTGCTTAAGCAATTTATCAGTAACATTGGTTACTTCCACAAGGAGATACCAATTCTATCCCACAGAGAATTCTCTTTTGAGACTATTTCCTTTCTGTGCCCACAAAAGCAGAAGCTGGCATGTTAGTCTCACTTGAGAGATTTCTTTTCTAACTACCCATGCTCCCCACACCTCCCCACAGATTCTGCTAAACCCCAAGGACAAGGTGTATAGTTGAAAATATTTCCTGGCCAGGCACAGTGGCTCACTCCTGTAATCCCAGCACTTTGGGAGGCCGAGGTGGGTGGATCACCTGAGGTCAGGAGTTCGAGACCAGCCTGGCCAACATGGTGAAACCCCATCTCTACCAAAAATACAAAAATTCGCCAGACATGGTGGTGTGCACCTGTAGTCCCAGCTACTCAGGAGGCTGAGGCAGGAGAATCACTTGAACTTGGGAGGTGGATGTTGCAGTGAGCCGAGATCATGCAAGATCTCAGCCTTAAAGAAAGAAAGAAGAAGAAAGGAAAGAAAGAGAAACAAACGGAAGAAGAAGAAAGAAAGAAAGACTTTCCTGGTTGATACCTTGTGATTTGATACCTTGTGTTGATACCTTCTTTTCTTTTCTTTTCTTTTTTTTTTTTCTTTTGAGACAGAGTTTCGCTCTTGTTACCCAGGTTGGAGTGCAATGGCGTGATCTCGGCTCACCACAACCTCCACCTCCTGGGTTCAAGCAATTCTCCTGCCTCAGCCTCCTGAGTAGCTGGGACTACAGGCACGTGCCACCATGCCCGGCTAATTTTTTGTATTTTTTTTTAGTAGAGACGGGGGTTTCACCATGTTGACCAGGATGGTCTCGATCTCTTGACCTCGTGATCCACCCTCCTCGGCCTCCCAAAGTGCTGGGATTATAGGCTTGGATACCTTCATCATGACTTTGAAAACCACTACCCAAAAAGTTGATCAGTTTTTCCCAGTGGCAATTTAGCTAGCTGCCACTAGGTGGAGAGAGGTGCTAATTAGGTCCACACACCCTTCACAGGAACCGCTGGAGACACTCGCCATCCTCCCTGTGCTCCTGGCAGACATTACTAATCAATACGGCATCTTTCCTACACAACCTACAAGCAGCCTCTGAGTCCCTTTCAACACAGTGTTGCAGGCAGCCACCACCAGTCAGTCATGGGTGGCGGCTAAAATGAAGCCCAATTTCCATCCTTGAACTGGTTGATCTTCATTCATCGTGTGGACATGCCTAACAGACTAAGATGAATATACAGGAGGAAAATTTTCATAAATATTAGTACACCTGACCTAGCTAATTATGTGCCCTCTGCCTGACTCCTGGCTGACCCCATTGAAATAAAACTGTCTGTGAGAGGCAATATGGTGTGGTGGGAAGCATCTGCCCTGAAAAGAACACCAGCCGAAATTTTAATTAAGTCCAGCATTCAAATCTGGACTGTTACTTTCTAGCTATGGGACCTTGGCCAAGTCATCTAGCCTCACTGAGTAGCAGTTTCCTCATCTGGAAAATGGGGACAGTAATAAATATTTCAGAGTTGCTGAGAGATGTCAATGGTACAGTCCATCGAGAGTCCCTGGCACATAGTAGGGACTTGACAAATGCCACCTTCACTTGCCAGCCCCTAAACTTGCTCTCCCTCACACAGCTTGCATCAGCGGAAAGAGCTTTTGAACTGGCATTGGTTGAACACAGGATATTGGAGCTGAAAGTGTGTGACGTTCAGGTGAGGCAGAAATCAGATCTCCAAGGTAGATGGGAGCACAGATGGGAGCAGACTTTCCTGCTGGTGCCCACAGAAATTCAGCCAACAACTAGAGACATTTATTCTGAGTAGGAGTCAGGGGCAAGACCAAGTTGCTGAGGTCTGGTCTCCCATCAGGGCTGACAAAGTGGAGGCAAGCAAAAGGGGTCACAGGGCTGGTGGTTCCTGTTGAAGGCAGTGCAGGCCCAATCAAGGCTGGGCTTGCGGCCAGGTGGATTAAACACTCAATGCTCTGAAACCTGCCAGGCTGACCCCTGCTCAGCTCAATCAGATCTGTCAGGGATATCGGCTTGATGAGGTTAAGCAAGCCATTCGAAGTGACGGACACCCCAGTTACCCTGATGTGATCATGACACATCATATGCCTGTGTCCCAAATATTGCATGCACCCCATAAATACATGCAACTATTATGTATTCATAGTTGAAAATAATTTTTAGCTGGGAGTGGGGGCTCATGCCTGTAATTCCAGCACTTTGGGAGGCCAGGCAGGTGGATCATGAGGTCAGGAGTTCAAGACTAGTCTGGCCAACATGGTGAAACCCTGTATCTACTAAAAATACAAAAAGTTAGCCAAGCGTGGTGGCAGGCACCTGTAATCCCAGCTACTTGGGAGACTGAGGCAGGAGAATAACTTGAACCTGGGAGGCAGAGGTTGCAGTGAGCTAAGATTGCACCATTGCACTCCAGTCTGGGTAACAAGAATGAAACTCCATCTCAAATAAAGAAATAATATATTTTTAACGACACCATCATGAAAGCAAAAGTGTGCACGTAGAGGTATCTTTTGACCAGGCGTAGTACCTCGCGCCTATAATCCCAGCACTTTGGGAGGCCAAGGAGGGCAGTTCATAAGGTGGGCAGTTCAAGACCAGCCTGGCCAACATGGAAAAACCTCATCTCTACTAAAAGTACAAAAAATTAGCCAGCGTGCTGGCAGATGCCTGTAATCCCAACTACTTGGAAGTCTGAGGCAGGAGAATCACTTGAATCCGGAGGCAGAGGTTGCAGTGAGCCGAGACTGTGAAACTGCACTCCAGCCTGGGCAACAGAGCGAGACTCCATCTCAGAAAAAAAACAAAAAGAGGTATCTTATGTTTGGCTCTTGTTCATATCTGCTGTGTGACGTTGAGTAAGTCTCTTTCCCTTTTCGGTTCCCTGACTACACAGGTAGACATCAAAGCATCATGATTCTCTAGCTGCGACACCCATAAATGCGCCTTTGTTTCCTATTCATTACTTGAAGACTGAGACCTTTTTGCTGGGGCAGGCTCCCTGACTGGAGTCCTGCACTATCTTTCTCTCAAAGCACAAGAATGAGTGGTCTATAATTTCCTGTTTCTTTTCCTTTAAAGGAAACAATAATTTAAAGCCACCTGCTTTATGCATGAGGGCATAATCCTGGGCATGAGTGGATCTGTTGCAACTTATTTTCTCAATCTTTTGCAGTCACTCTTAGCTAATTCTATGCAATGCTTGCCTTTATTGCATCTTTCCAAAGAATTTGATGTTGGTTTTCTAAGGACAGCAATCTTTACACTCATCTGTTTTATACATATATATATACACATATACATATATATATATATATATATACACATATACATATATATATATATATATACATATACATATATATATATATATATATATATATATATATATATATATATATATATAAACAAAGATATTTAACAACTGCAACTGCCATTTGGGAGCAAACGAAATCTTATATGTATTTATTTAGAGACAGGGTCTCACTACTGGCACAAATAAAGTCTTATTTATGTATTTAGAGACAGGGTCTCTCTGATGCCCAGGCTAGTCTCAAACTCCTGAGCTCAAGTGAGTCTCCTGCCTCTACCTTCGAAATTACAGGCATGAGTCACCGCTCCTAGCCAGAATTTTTTATTTTATTTTCTTCAGTTAGTTTAGAAAGTTTATTTTGCCAAGGTGGAGGATGCCAAACCATGACACAGCCTCAGGAGGTCCTGCCGACATGTCCCCAAGGCAGTCATAGCACAGTTTGGTTTTATACATTTTGGGGAGACATGAGATGTCAATCAACATATGTAAGACGAACATTGGTTGGGCTGGAACGGTGAAACAACTCAAAGTGGGGAGTGGCCTTCCAAGTCACAGGCAGATTAAGAGACAAATAGTTGCATTCTTCTGAGTTTCTGACGAGCCTCTCCAAAGGAGGCAATCAGATATGCATTGATCTTAGTGAGCAGAGGGGTGACTTTGAACAGGATGGGGGCAGGTTTGCCCTGAGCAATTCCCAGCTTGATTTTTCCCTTTAGCATCATGATTTTGGGGTCCCAAGATATTTTCCTTTCCCATTTCCACCCTTTTCTTTTCTTAAATCTTTTGGAGAAAGCATTTTAGAAGAAAATGAGTCTCTGGTCTCAGGTTTCGTCTGATCTCTCATAGCTAGGATGGTTTATTACTAGAGGGGTAGCTCCGGAGTTATTAAGAAAGCTCATTTTTAGGAGGTTGTAAAGTTTCTCATCCTATTAAGAGAAAATGGGCGGGGGGGGGGGCGGGCGGAGAGAACAACAACAACAAACCAAAGAACAATCCTGGAAAATGAAGACGTAAGCCACATCACTCACGCCAGTAGACAGGTGTGAAAGTGGCTATGTATGTAAATATGTTGTTGTTTTTCTTCTGAAGTTTAAGTTGTCTAGCTTCAGTTCTCAGGGCTTTCTCAATCAATAAAAATCAATAAAAAAAGATAGCTGGAAAATTCCGAAATATACGGAGCTTAAAGAACACACCTCTAAATAACACATGGGGGAAGAAAGATGTCTCAAGAGAAAGCACAACTCGGTTTTCAGTGACTCCAAATTAGGGAAAGTGGGGAGAAAAGAAGGAAGAATGGAAAACACTATTTTGGAGACTTGTAGCCAAGAAAAATTAGAATTCGGTCCAAACTCTAGAAAATAATAAATATTGAAAAACATTAGGCAAGACTAGACTCTAACAACAGGTGCACCATGGTTTTTGAAACCTAACATCTCTCCAGTCTCCCATTTTTACTAAAGATGAATCATTGCAGGACTAGTTTGCCTTGTCATACTTGGCCTAATGACTCGCATACAGAGCAGCGAGAATCCTCAACTGTAAGTAAAGTGAGTAGGGGAAAGACAGCACCCCACCCCATGGCGACATTGCGTCTTAGGCAGAAGTCAACGTCTTATACAGTAGAAATGGGGAGTGCCAGTTCATGAATAATCTGGCTAAGAGGGGTTGTAAGAGAGTTGGCGTTTACAAAATATTTCATCCAACAACAACAGGAAACGCGTTCTTCTCAAACTCACATGGAACATTCACCAAGACATACCACATTCTGGGTTAGAAAACACACTAACAAATTTCAACAGAGGTATGTCATACAAAGCATGCTCTTTATTACAATGCAATTAAAAAAGAAATCAATTTTAAAAAAAGATAGCTGAAAAATTCCAAAATATATGGAGATTGGAGAACACACCTAAATAACACACAGGGTAAGGATGACGTCTCAAGAGAAATGTTAAAATATTTTGGGCCAGGCTCAGGAGCACCTGCCTATAATCCGAACACTTTGGGAGGCTAAGGCAGACGGATCGCTTGAGCCCAGGAATTCGAGACCAGATTGGGCCACGTGGTGAAACCCCGTCTCTACAAAAAATACAAAAATTAGCCAGGCATAGTGGCATGCACCTGTAGTCCCAGCTATTTGGGAGGCTGAGGTGGAAGGATCACCTGAGTCCGGGAGGTCAAGGCTGCAGTCAGCTGAGAGTGTGCCACTGCACCCCAGCCTGGGCAACAGAGTGAGACCCTGCCTCTGCAAAATAAATAAATACATTTTGAATTAAATTAAAATGAAAAAGCAGCCTATCAAAAAGTGTGAGACTAGTGAAAGTAGTGTTTAGAGGGAAATTTATAGTGTTGAACACATGTATGAGGAAAGAAGGAAGCTCGAACTCAGAAAGGGTTGAATAGATGACGCACAGGGGATTTTGTGTTGCAGGGCAGAGGAGCCCTCAAACTGGAGCACCCCCAGGAAAGCTTCTTGCCTTTGTCCAGGAAGTAAATTCAAGGGTGAGCTGGAGGAGGAAGAAAAAGGTTTATTGAGGCAGGAGGGTTACAGCTCCATGACTGCCCCTGCAGAGCAGGGTCACCCATAGGCAGTGCGTGGAGAGCAGCAGCTCAGGGCAGTTCTGCAGTCACATTCACACCCACTTTTCAGTACATGCAAATTAAAGCACAGGTTATTCAGAAATTTCTGGTAAAAGGATGGGAACTTCTGGGTCATTGCCAGGGAATAAGTACACTGTTCATGCTGCTGCCCTGCATGTCAGCCAGTCTTCAATCTGGTCCAGAGTCAAGCCCCACCTCTGGAGCTGAGTCGCATGTCCTACCTCAATACTATTCTGCATGATGCTGTAATGGTGGATACATGACATGTAATGTTTGGCACAACCCATAGAACTGTAGGAAACAAGAGTGAGCCTTAATTAAACCTTAATGTAAATGGACTCTTCTTAATTATGATGTATTAATATCAATTTATCAATTGTAACAAATTTATCACAGCACTGTTAATAATAGAGGAACTTATTGGCAGGAGAGACAGCTTATGGTACTCTCTGTACATTCAGCTAAATTTCTCTGTAAGCCTGAAACTGTGTAAGAAATAAAATCCAACCTGGGCAACATAGCAAGACCTTGTCTCTACAAAAAATAAAAAATGAGCAGGGCACAGTAACGTATGCCTGTAGTCCCAGGTACTCAGGACGCTGAGGCAGAATGATTGCTTGAGCCCAGGAGGTTGAGGTTGCAGTGAGCCATGATCAGGCCCCTGCACTCTAGCCTGGGTAACAAAGCAAGATCCTGTCTCCAAAAAATAATAAAATAAAATAAATATCTACTAACTGAAAGGGAAAAAAAGCATAGTATAATGCGGTTCGTAAGAAAAAGAAAAGAGACCTGTGTTTGTGTGTGTGTTCACACTAAGAAAAATAATCTGGAAAGCGCTACATCAGAATGTTGATAGTGGCACTTTTTTCGTTTTAGAATCACAGATGATCTTTCCACTTCCTGGTTTTTCTGACTTTTTCTTTTTGCAACAGGTGAGTATTGCTGGAAAAAGCCACAGATGACTCTGAAATGATTTTGTCAAAAGCAAAAAAAAAAAAAAGATAAGGAAACACAAAATCTGTTATGTGTGATTTATCTTGGCTGTTGGTTAAAATTCATTTCCAGAGTAGCCTTCAGAGAAAGGCTGGGCTGCTAGTTGCTGGTTAAAAGACAAAGTTCCAGAACACGGAAGAGTGAGCAGGTGAAATTCAGCACTGGGATCAGGGGAGTGTTTGATTTGCTAAAGGAAAATGCAAAGACAGCTCCTCCCCTCCGAGGAAACGAAACCTACAGAAGAGATAAAAGCTAATAGGTCCCGGAGGCAGTTCTGTTGCCACGGGCTCTCCTATCAATGATGGAGCTCAGCAATACCCCAGCCAGAGATCTGGACAAGTTCGTCGAAGACAATCTCTTGCCAGACACGCATTTTCGCATTCAAATCAACAAAGCCATTGACATCATCTGTGGATTCCTGAAGGAAAGGTGCTTCCGAGGTAGCTCCGACCCTGTGCGGGTGTCCAAGGTGGTAAAGGTGAGTCCAGGCCTGCCTGGCGGGGAGGGGTGGCTGAATGTACAAGAGTTGAGACTGAGAATGAGAGAGACACACAGAGAGAGACACAGAGAGAGAGACACCAGAAAGAGAGAGAGAGAAGCAAAAATCTAAAACCCAGGGTGCAGATGTGAGTCCAGAGAACTGAGATCTTCTGATTTATCCACATAGCTTGTTAAAATAGAATCTGGGGTGAAAGCCTACATCCCTATTATTAACAAGTGACCCCCCCCCCAAAGTTTATGAACCACTGTCCTAGTCCATGCCCATTTCAGAAATAAAGAAACTGAAGCCCAGCTCTGGTAAACAGTGGCCAGGCTAGGGCTTACCATTTCTGCAATGAAGAATAGTATGTTTTGAAAGCAAATATCACCTGCTGGCTGTGAGACCTTGAGCAAGTCATTTTACTTTGTGTCCCAATTTCTTCAGTCACAATCCCCAATACTGTTGCAGTCTCACCAATGTACCTTAATGTAGCAGCTTCTCGTTGTCTGAACTAGTACCCGAGGTTCTTTGTCCTGTGTCCAAGAAAATTAAGGAACATGGACACAGAGGTGGGCTTGGAGCAAAAGTTTAATAAGCAAAAGAAGAAAGCTCTCTCCGCCGCAGAGAGGGGAGTCTGAGTGGATTGCCAGATTACAGCTGAATGCAAAAAAACTTTTATTAGAAACTGCTCTCTTCCCTGTAACTGTTTGAGAAACTTTTTGTCAGTAAAGCTGTGCAAATCCCCTTACCTTATGCAGCTGTGAGGACGTCTCTAGGCAAGCACATAGCGCCGCTTCTCTTGTGTGTATAACTGTGGATTTGTTTTACATAAGGCCCCCTACCTGTGCCAGTTTCAGGCAGGCTGCTTCTCCAGGACCCAGCCTTCACTGTTCACCTAACTGTTTTTTCCTCTTTCCCCTCAGTACCTCATAGCGTTGTGCAGATTAAGTAAGATAGTTAAATGTGAACCACCCAGCATAAGCTAGTCAGGAAAAGAACACATATCCCAGATGGAGGCCCCCAGGTTTGAATTGTATCTGCCACCTACTATCTGGATGATGGGGCTGATATATAATCTCACTGATCATCCATTTTCGGGTCCGTAAAATAGAAGCTAATGATAATGGTACCCAAACCATAGCATCACTGCAAACATTATAGGACTTTAAGACGTGCAATGCCTTCAGAACAGCGGCTAGTGCTCTGTAATGTTAGTGATTGTTCCTGTCGTTTTATTTAGGGAGGTTTGCCTCACTAAGCGTCGGTTACTGTGCTTGTCTTTTCCAGGGTGGCTCCTCAGGCAAAGGCACCGCCCTCAGAGGCAGATCTGACGCTGACCTGGTTGTCTTCCTCAGTCCTCTCACGACTTTTCAGGATCAGTTAAAGTACCGGGGAGACTTCATCCGGGAAATTAGGAGACAGCTGAAAGCCTGTCAAAGAGAGAGAGTATTCTCCGTGAAGTTTGAGGTCCAGACTTCGCACTGGGACAGCCCCCGTGCGCTGAGCTTCGTGCTGAGTTCGCCCTGTCTCAGGGAGGGAGTGGAGTTTGACGTGCTGCCTGCCTTTGATGCCCTGGGTGAGAGCTCCCAGCTTCTTTTTCTCCCTTTTCCCATTTTGGAGCAGAAATCTCCCACAGCTTGAGGCTTTTTTTTTTTTTTGCCCCAACATCCCTCTAAAGCAGGGTGGGAGGAGGAGATCTTAGGATCTCTCCCTGAGCAAGAATGACTAACATCATGATCTATTACAGAAGAGGCATTAAACAGCAAACTGGCATAATTCCAGGACAAAGACATTTCTTGCAGAACAGCTGCAAGGCTTACTGGTACTGGTTATGGCAAAACATGTGAATTTTATCTAAAATCCGACAGCAAAGATGTGGCTTAAAGTTCATGTTACTTTCATCTTTGTCCCAACATGAGGAGATCTCGTCAAATGTATGCAGCAGGTTGGGAGATAGATATTTATAACCTGCAGGAACATTTGAACAGGAAGTGTAACCTCTCAGAGGCCCCATTTCTACATCAGGAGGATTAGTAAAACCATGCTACCATTATTTTAAGTGGTAAATGATCACTTACTTAATGCTTATTACTCATCAGACATTTAGGTCTGATGAGTAACAGGTGTTTAAAAATGTGAATTTCCAGTAGGTGTAGCGGCTTATGCTTGTAATTCCAGCACTTTGGGAGGCTGAGGTGGTGGATCGTTTGAGCCCAGGACTTCAAGACCAGCCTGGGCAACGAAGTGAAATCTTATCTCTACTAAAAATTTTAAAAAATTAGCTGGGTGTGGTGGTACATGCTTGTGGTCACAGGTATTCAGGAGGCTGAGACTGAAGGATCCAGTGAGGCCAGCCAGGTGTTTGAGGTTTCAGTGAGCCGTGAACATGCCGTTGCACTCCAGCATGGGGGCACAGAGCAAGAGCAAGACCCTGCTTCAGTCAATCAGTCAATCAATCAAAAATATGAATTTCCCAACTGTATATGAAGGCACCTCAGAACACCACAGTGAACTCACAGAGGGCCACGGAATAATTTACATTTTGATTTTTGAGGGAAATGCAATGACATCTGTCAGACACAATGCAAACAGCTACTATTAAATTGTTTGAACTTAGTGATTAGTGGCTACTAATTAATAGTTGGTAATTATGTAGCAATTAGTGATTAATTAGCAAGCAATTAGTACTTAATTAAAGGAACTGTCAGGGTTTTCTTTGGGCCTAGGGCAGCCTTGAAAAAAAAATGCTGACACTCTGAAGACACCAGGGTATGAGAAAGTTTTGAATTCTCTCCTTTGTGCCATATCTTGTGTTGGGGACTGGAGTACAATGGTTGTAAAAAATAAGAGGGAGAAGGTTGGTCGGGGTGGCTCACGTCTGTAATCCCAGAACTTTGAGGCCAAAGTGAGCAGATCACTTGAGGTCAGGAGTTCAAGACCAGCCTGGCCAACATGGTAAAATCCCATCTCTACTAAAAATGCAAAATTTAGATGGGCGTGGTGGTGGGTGCCTATAATCCCAGCAGCTACTTGGGAGGCTGAGGCAGGAGAATCGCTTGAACCCAGGAGGTGGAGGTTGCAGCGAGCCAAGATCATACCACTGCATTCCAGCCTGAGTGACAGAGCGAGACTCCATCTCAAAAAAAAAAAAAAATAACATAAGGAGTTACTAAAAAAAAAAAAAAAAAAAAAAAACCTAAGTAGAGCAAAACAATAGACAGCCATGGGTGTTCAGGGCTGTTTTAGACAGAGTCATGAGGGAGGGCCCCTGAGCCTGAGAGGTGAGAAGGAGTGCAACATGGGAAGATCTGGGGCTTCTGGGAAGAGGAACAGCGAATGCAGAGGCCCTGAAGTGGCAATGACTGTGGCACATTTGAGGAAGACAGAAAAGGTCAGAGCAGTAGAAAGTGGGCAAAGGAAGCAAGACAGGAGGTAAGGGGGGAGAGGTTGCAGAGACCAGATCACCCCAACGTCACTAGCCACCATAAAAACTTTGAGTTTTCAAATTTCAGGTGGTGTGGGATGCAGGAAGCCGCAAGATCAGATTTTAAAAGCTTTCTCTAGGTGCCGGGTAGAGAACAGGCCGTGGGGGAACCTGTAAAGGTTCCATCATTCAGGTACATGACGCTGGTGGCTTGGATGGGGTCATGGCAGTGGAGAGGGCAGGAGGGAGGATCGAGAATGGACCTCAGGCTTTCCAGCCCTGGGTCTAATGCACTTTCCAGTCAAACCCCATGGCCAGGGAGCTTGTCCCCCAGGGTGACCGAAAGAACCTCAGAGAAGAGCTGACACCTAAGTTGTAGGTTTTGCCTCAACAGGTCAGCTGACTGGCATCTGTAAACCTAACCCCCAAATCTATGTCAAGCTCATCGAGGAGTGCATCTACCTGCAGAAAGAGGGCGAGTTCTCCACCTGCTTCACAGAACTACAGAGAAACTTCCTGAAGCAGCGCCCCCCCAAGCTCAAGAGCCTCATTCGCCTAGTCAAGCACTGGTACCAAAATGTATGGCCCTCCTGCCAGGCCACTGTGGGTTCTGTCTGGACTGGGAGCAGAGGAGTTGTGGGGGGAGCAGAGAAAGAAGAAGTGAAGGAAAGAGGAGGGAGAGTGGTGGAGAGAATAGAGGGAGGGGAAGAGGAGAGAAAGGAAAAAGAGGTGGAGAGGGAGGAGGGAGGAGGTTGCAACAAAAAAAGAAAAGAGAATGAAAGGGAGGGAAGGGAGGAAGGAAGGGATTTTGGTGTTCTGTTGACTGCTATATCCCAAGAACTTAGAACAGAGCCTGGTGCATAATAGGTGTAAATAATGGTTGAATAAATGAATCAGTGCTACACACACACACACACACACACACAGAGAGAGAGAGAGTCAACCACACTCTTCAGAAGGTGGATAAGATAAAACGAGCGTTTCCAACAAATATATGTTCATACACCTCTTCTACTTACTCTCTGGCTGACCTTGAGTAAGCAACTTAACCTCTCCGTTCTTTCTGTTTTCTCATTTGCAAAAAGTAGCATGCCACAGCTAGAGTAAAATGGCATATAGCTGGTGCTAACAAATATGATATCTTTTAGCCACCACAAGAGTACATATAATAAAAGCTAACATGTATTGTGTGCTTAACTTATCAATGTTTTGTGGATGTGATATGCTTTTCTGTTCACTTTTAAATGCCCTGCATTTTAGTCAACTTTCACAGTGATTCTGTAAGTTAGTTAAGGTTAGGTATTATTATTAAACCATTTTACACTTAGGTCAACAAGAGAAACTTCTGGGTCTGGTGACTCATTCGGCCAACAACTAGCAGAAGTAAAACTCGAATTTGGCTGGGCACAGTGGCTCACACGGGTAATCCCAGCACTTTGATAGGCCAAGGCAGTGGATTGCTTGAGTTCAAGACTAACCTGAGCAACATGGCAAAACCTTGTCTCTACAAAAAACTTAAAAATTAGCCAGGTGTGGTGGTGAGCACCTGTAGCTCCAGCTACTGGGGAGCCTGAGTGGGGAGGATCACTTGAGCCTGGGAGGAGAAGGTAGCGGTGAGTCAAGATCGCACGACTGCACTCCAGCCTGGGTGACAGAGCAAGATCTTGTCTAACAAACAAAAACTTTAATTTGGGTCTACTGACTTAGGAGTTTGCCTGATAATAACAGGCATTCAATATACATTTCTTAAATAAATGGATGAAAATAATCAGGGATAAACTTCCCAATTTAAAAATAACACCTCTAGGTAAAAGAAGACAATCATTTAGTTGCTAGACTTCTAAGTGTTTGCTGTTCCACGAATTTTAATCATGGAGCCTGAGCATGGTACAATTTACAAAAGCAGTTCTTGACAAAAGCAGCACTGCCCCCAGGGACATGTTGAAAATGAGGCCAGGCACGGTGGCTCACACCTGTAATCCCAGCACTTTGGGAGGCTGAGGTGGGTGAATCACCTGAGGTCAGGAGTTCAAGACCAGCCTGACCAACATGGTGAAGCCCCATCTCTACTTAGAGAAAAAGAGAGAGAGAAAGAGAGGGAAACAGATGAAAGACAGAGTAAGGTCTAACATATTTAAAATTTTTATTTCATTCTGTGAATATGATATTTCTAGTTTTTAAAAAAATTTTATTATTTTTTAGTATTATGTTTTATTTGCACTTCTTTTCTGGGACATGAGCACACACAGATTCATGTGTGCATGCATATATAATTAGATGCCTATGATTAGCTGGGCGTGGTGGTGCATGTCTGTAATCCCAGCTACTCAGCAGGCTGAGACAGGAGAATGACTTGAAACCAGGAGGCGGAGGTTGCAGTGAGCCGAGATTGGGCCACTGCACTCCAGCCTGGGCAACAGAGCAAGACTCCATCTCAAAAAAAAGAAAAGAAAAGAAAATTAATGCGGGTGTTTTGGTAACCATGGTGATAGGAGGACATGGGTGCTCGTATGGGTGCTTATATTTAGTGGAAAGTGGCAGGAATGCTAGCTGTTGTACAATGATCAAGAGAGTCCTGTACAGCCCAGAATTGTCTTTTTCTTTCTTTCTTTATGCTGTTCTCCTTCAAAACAAGACAAGATGACAGTAATTTAACTCCACTAACCACCATTACCACCTCCAATGTATACGCTACATTTTTTGTCTATTTCAAGTTTCTCTATGTTTTCAAGTGCCTCAAAGCATTATTATTGTTTTAGAGCCAATGTTTATTTAATCTACTCAGAGATTTACTGCTTTCTTCACGTCATTCTTTCTTACACCTCTAACATTCCATGTGGGGTCATTTTCCTAAATGACTATTCATCCTTTGGGATTTCTTTTGATGATGGCCTATTGGTAGTAAACTCCCTCAGTTTTTGTTTGTCTGAAAATGTCATGTTTGTGCCTTCATTGTTGAAGCATGCTTTTGCTGGGTGGCCATTTCAGTACATTGAATATATCATTCCATCTTCCAGTGTCATCATTAAAAAGTCAGTTTCTAGTCTAACTGCAGCTCCTTTGTAAGTAACCTATTTTATTCCTCTGGCTGCATGTAAGAGTTTTTCTTTGTCTTTGATTTTGTCTAGCTTCAATCTGCTGTGTTTTAATGATGGGTTCCTATAATTTGTCCAGATTGGGATTCCTTTAATATTCCTGAATCTGTGTACTGGTATCTTCAGTTTTAAAACTTCTCAGCCATTCTTCTAAAACATGGATTCTCCCCCATTGTCTCCTCACCTCCTGGAATTCCAATTAAATGTATGTTAGACCTTACTCTGTCTTTCATAGCTCTGTACTCTTTTTTGTATTTTCTATCTTTTTGTCTATTTTTTTCATGCTCTATTCTGAATGGTTTCTTCTAATCTACCTTTGAATTAACTAATTTTCTCTTTAGCTATATCTAATTTACTGTTAAGCTCTTAATTATAGTTGCCATTTTTAATCCCAAAATTTCTATTTCATTTTTTTATATCTGCCATGTTACTTCTTATGGCTTTTAATTTCCTACTAATTTTTTTTTTTTTTTTTGAGACAGGGTCTCCCTCAGCCACCCAGGCTGAAGTGCAGTGGTGCTATCTTGGCTCAATGCAACTGCTGTCTACTAGGTTCAAGAGATTCTCCCATCTCAACCTCCTGAGTAGCTGGGATTACAGGCACCCACCATCATGCCTGGCTAATTTTTGTAGTTTAGTAGAGACAGGGTTTCACCATGTTGGCCAGGCTGGTCTTGAACTCCTGACCTCCGGTGATCCACCCACCTCAGCCTCCCAAAGTGCTAGGATTACAGGGCTGAGCCACCACACCTGCCATAATTCCCTACTAACTATTTAAAGTTTTTATTTTAGTCTGTGAATATGATATTCCTAGTTATTTAAAAATTTTTGTTACTTTTTAGTATGATGTTTTATTTACACTTCTTTTCTGTGACATGAGCACACACTGATCCATGTGTATACATATATGGCTCTGATACCTCTCCTTGCCTGTCCTCACTCAAACCACTGATCACAGAGAGAGGACTATTTTTTTTATATTTAATTTTTCTGTTTTGTTAGGTTTTTGGGGGAACAGGTGGTGTTTAGTCCATGAATAAGTTTTTTAGTGGTGATTTCTGAGATTTTGGTGTACCCATTACCCAAGCAGTGTACATTGTACCCAAAATGTAGTCTTTTAACCCTCCCCATCCCCCATTCGTCCCCCTCAGTCCTCAAAGTCCCATGTATCATTCTTATGCCTATGCTTCCTCATAGCTTAGTTCCCACATATATGTGAGAACATACAATATTTGGTTTTCCGTTCCTGAGTTACTTACTTAAAATAATAGTATCCATTTCCATCAAGGTTGCTGTGCATGCCATTATTTTGCTCCTTTTTATGGCTGAGTAGTATTTCATGATGTGTGTGTGTGTGTGTGGCATTATCTACTCATTGATTGACAAGTATTTGGGTTGGTTCCATATTTTTGCAGTTGCAAATTGTGCTGTTATAAACATGCATGTACAGGTATCTTTTTCATAAAATGACTTCTTTTCCTCTGGGTAGATAGCTAGTAGGGGGATTGCTGGATCTAATGCAATCCCATTAGAATTTTAGTTCTATAAGGAATCTCCAAGCTGTTTTCCATAGTGGTTGTACAAGTTTACATTCCCCCCAGTAGTGTAGAAGTGTTCCCATTTTACCACATCCACACCAACATCTATTATTTTTTGATTTTTTATTATGGCCATTCTTGCAGGAGTGAAGTGGTATCGCACTGTGGTTTTGATGTGCATTTCCCTGATAATTAGTGATGTTGAACATTTTCCCACATGCTTGTTGGCTATTTATGTATCTTCTTTTGAGAGTCCTGTGTTCATGTCCATAGCCTACTTTTTGATGGGATTGTTTGTTTTTTCTTGCTGATTTGTTTGAGTTCTTTGTAGATTCGGGATATTAGTCAGATGTATAGATTGTGAAGATTTTCTACCACTCTGTGGGTTATCTGTTAACTCTGCTAATTATTATTTCTTTTGCTTTGCAGAAGCTTTTTAGTTTAATGAAGTCCCATCTATTGATCTTTGTTTTTGTTGCATTTGCTTTTGGGTTCTTGGTCATGAAGTCTTTGCCTAAGCCAATGTCTAGAAGGGTTTTTCCGATGTTATCTTCTATAATCTTTACGGTTTCTGGTCTTAGATTTAAGCGTTTGATTCATTTTGAGTTGGATTTTGTGTAAGAGGAGAGATAAGGATCCAGTTTAATTCTTCTACATGTGACTTGCCACTTATCCCAGCACCATTTCTTGAATAGGGTGTCTTTTCCCCACTTTGTGTCGTGCTTTGTCAAAGATCAGTTGGCTGTAAGTGTTTGGCTTTATTTCTGGGTCATTATTCTGTTACATTGGTCTATGTGACTATTTTTATACCAATACCATGCTGTTTTGGTGACTGTGGCCTTATAGGATAGTTTGAAGTCTGGTAATGTAATGCCTCCAGATTTGTTTTTTTTTTTTTTTTTTTTTTTTGATATGGAGTTTTGCTCTTGTTACCCAGGCTGGAGTGCAATGGTGTGATCTTGGCTCACCGCAACCTCCGCCTCCTGGGTTCAGGCAATTCACCCCCCTCAGCCTCCTGAGTAGCTGGGATTACAGGCATGGTGCCACCATGCCCAGCTAGTTTTTTTTTTTTTTTTTTTGTATTTTTAGTAGAGACGGGGTTTTACTATGTTGACCAGGATGGTCTCAATCTCTTGACCTTGTGATCCACCCACCTTGGCCTCCCAAAGTGTTGGGATTACAGGCGTGAGCCACTGCGCCAGGCCCCAGATTTGTTCTTTTTACCTAGTCTTGCTTTGGCTCTGTGGGCTCTTTTTTGGTTCCATATGAATTTAGGATTTTTTTTTCTAGTTCTGTGAAGAATGATGGTGATATTTTGATGGGAATTGCATTGAATTTGTACATAGTTTTTGGCAGTATGGTCATTTTCACAGTATTGATTCTACCCAAATCATGAGCATGGGATGTGTTTCCATTTGTTTATGTCATCTACGAATTCTTTCAGCAGTGTTTTGTAGTTTTCCTTGTAGAGTTCCAAGTTATTTTAAAGTCTGTGTTCAGTCCCTCAATATTTAAAGTTTTACAAGTTTATTACTATTTCTCTTTTTTTCTGTTGGTCATCACTCCTAGTGTTTTGTTTCCTTGTGTGCCTGGTTACATATGTGCTCATCATGGTATTTGAAAATTATTTGTAAAATAATTTGAGGTTTTGGATTATGTATTCTCCTCCACAAGGAATTTCGTTTGCTTCTGTGCATTTCTTAGGAACATTACAAGTACTTCTTCTTGGTTAATTTTCATAATCTCCTTCTAAGAGAGGTGCTATTATGACCACTCACTTAGCGGATGAAAATAACGAGGCTCTGAGAGTCTAAGTCATCTACTTAGAAGTGGACAATGGTGAAGCCAGGTTCGAACCTACATCAATAAGAATCCAGAACTCTTTTGTTTTTTTTTTTTTTTTTTTTTTGAGGCGAGTTTCGCTGTTGTTACCCAGACTGGAGTGCAATGGCACGATCTCGGCTCACTGCAACCTCTGCCACCTGGGTTCAAGCAATTCTCCTGCCTCAGCCTCCTGAGTAGCTGGGACTATAGGCACGCACCACCGTGCCCAGCTAATTTTTGTATTTTTAATAGAGACGGGGTTTCACCTTGTTGACCAGGATGGTCTCGATCTCTTGACCTTGTGATCCACCCACCTCAGCCTCCCAAAGTGCTGGGATTATAGGCATGAGCCACCGCGCCCGGCCAAAATCCAGAACTCTTAACAAGAGGCCAGCAAACTTTTTTTTAAATAAAGGACTAGATAAATATTTTAGACTTTGTGGACTGCACAGGGTCTGTTGCAACTGCTCAACCCTGCCTTTGTAGCATGAACACAGTCATAAACTATACAATAATGAATGAGCCTTGATTTGTTCCAAGTAAACTTTGTATCTAAAAACAGGTGGCAGGCTGGACTTGGGCCAGTAAGAAATGTAGTTTACATAAAAGTTGAGCAAACCCATTTTTTTCCTGATTGTTTTTCATCTTCTCAGTGTAAGGAAGAGCTTGGGAAGCCACTGCCACCTCAGTATGCCCTGGAGCTCCTGACGGTCTATGCTTGGGAGCAAGGGAGCATGGAAACAGATTTCAACACAGCCCAGGGATTTCGGACAGTCTTGGAATTGGTCATAAACTACCAGCAACTCTGCATCTACTGGACAGTGTATTATGACTTTAAAAACCCCAGTATTAGAGAGTACCTGAGCAGGCAGCTCAGCAAACCCAGGTATGCTATCCCCACATGGATTAGCTCCCCTATTTAAATGAACACCTGGATAAAGATACAGTGCCTTGTAAATGGAGGAGGTGGGAGGGATCCCCACTTGGTGAGAATCTCAAGTTGCCTGTCATTGTGCTGAGCATTTTACTACTGCCATTTGATTTAAATGCCTACCTCTAACCCTGCAAGGCAGGCACTATGCCCATCATTTTACAGGTGAGTAAACTGAGGTTCTGAGAGGTAAGGAGCTTGTCCAACCCTTAACGGAAAATGAGTGAAATAGGTAGAATTTGAACTGAAATAAGAACAGCAGCAACAGCAATAACAGTAATTGCTCCCAGGTATTGAAAGCTTGCTGTGAGACTAACACATGCTAATATAATAGTGAAAATTACTATCAACATGACTGACGTGTGTGTTATGTTCTAGTCACTGTGCTAAGCATTTCACATTACTTGGCTTTTTCTTTCCTCACACCATAGCCTTTGAGATAGGCCTGTGGAACTACCCGCGTTTGACAGAACAAAACCTGAGGCTTAGAGAGTTCAAGTGACCTAACCAAGGGCACATCACTGATAAAGGGCAGAGGTGGGATTCAAACCCACATCTGTCAGGCGCAAGTGCAAGGCTCCCTCTCCCCATGCTAACTGCCCGCTGGGGAATAGGCCACTGAAGACGTAACCCTGGGAGCCCTTCCTCATGCTCTGAGTCCCAGCCCATCCCAGGCTACGTTTTACTCTGCCAGGAGCATCTGGACTCCTGGGACAGAGCCCTAGTTCCTCACCTGTCCCTCTCTCAATGTTGCTCTACAGGCCTGTGATTCTGGACCCAGCTGACCCTACAGGAAACTTAGGTGGAGACCCAGAGGGTTGGCGGAAGCTGGCACGAGAGGCTGAGATCTGGCTGAATTACCCATGCTTTGAGAATTGGGATGGGTCCCCAGTGAGCTCCTGGACTCTGTCGGTGAGACCTCCTGCTTCCTCCCTGCCATTCATCCCTGCCCCTCTCCACGCAGCTTGAGATATATGGTTTAAGAACATTCTTTTCTTTTCTTTTTATACTTTAACTTCTGGGGTACATGTGCAGAATGTGCAGGTTTGTCACATAGGTATACATGTGCCATGGTGGTTTGCTGCATCCATCACTCCGTCATCTACATTTGGTATTTCTCCTAATGCTATCCTCCCATCCCCCAACCTCTTGCTATCCCTCCCTTAGCCCTCCAACCCCCAACACACCCCAGTGTGTGATGTTCCCCCCCATGTCCATGTGTTCTTGTGGTTCAATACCCACTTGTGAGTGAGAACATGCGGTGTTTGGTTTCCTATTATTGTTTCAGTTTGCTGAGAATGATGGTTTCCAGCTTTTTCCATGCCCCTGCAAAGAACATGAACTCATCCTTTTTTATGGCTACGTAGTATTCCATGGCATATATGTGCCACATTTTCTTTATCCAGTCTATCATTGATGGGCATTTGGGTTGGTTCCAAGTCTTTGCTATTGTGAATGTGCAGCCAACAAACATATGAAAAAATGCTCATCATTTTCATCATCTAATGACAGGGTCATTAGAGAAATGCAAATCAAAACTACATTGAGATACCATCTCACACCAGTTAGAATGGTAGTCATTAAAAAAATCAGGAGACAACAGATGCTGGAGAGGATGTGGAGAAATTAGGAATGCTTTTACACTGTTGGTGGGAGTGCAAATTAGTTCAACCATTGTGGAAAACAGTGTGGCGATTCCTCAAGGACCTAGAACTGGAGATCATTTTTCCAACATACTTACCGCTTGCCAAAGGCCATTTATATTCATATAGTTACAGGCTGTGCTCCATATTTTACAGTCGTTTTGGTCACAAACAGAGAGTTTCTAGGATTTTCACATCCCTTGTCCAGAGTTCATTCCCCTAAGAGTAATAATAAATAACCTCTAACACTACTTATTGATTACCTGCTTTGGGCTCAGGTTCTGTCCTAAGCCCTTTAATACACACTATTTCATTAAATATTCACAACAATCCCATAATGCTTTCTTTTTAAAAATTTTTATTATTTTAGATTTAGAGGGCACATGTGCCACATGTTACCCAGCTATATTGTGCAACGGTGGGGTTTGGGCCTCTACTGACCCTGTCACCCAGACAGTGAACATAGTACCTAATAGGAATGTTTTCAGCCCTTGCCCTTCTCCCTTTCTCCTCCCTTCTGGAGTCCCTCGTGTCTATTGTACCCATCTTTAGCAGATGTTAAGTATTTGTTTTTCTGTTTCTGGTTAAATTCTGAAGGCCTTAAGATAACAGGCTTCAGCTGCATCCATGATTTCATTCTTTCTTATGGCTGCATAATATTCCATAGTGTAGATAGACCACATTTTCTTTATCCAATCCACCACTGATGCGCACCGAGGTTGACTTCATGACTTCGCTATTGTGAATAATACTGTGATAAACATGAGTGCAGGTGTCTTTTGACAAAATGGTTTATTTTCCTTTGGGTAGATACCCAGTAGTGGGATTGCTGGGTTGAATGGACATTCTATTTTTAGTTATTTGAGAAGTCCCAAGAGGTGTGTTTTCTATCATTCCCAACTTACAGATGAGACAAAGTCTCAGGGAAGTGAGGTCACATGCTCAAGGACATCAGCTAAAGAGGGGTGGAAGTAGGATGCAAACTCAGTGGACTCTAAAGCCAGCGCTCATGTCACTGTGCTGAACAACTTACCGTGTCTCATCCACGCCTCTCATCTGGCCAATGGGAGACTCTGGGCAGGACTTGGCTGTCACATGGCTAAGCAGGGGCAAAGGACTCACTCCCGGATCCTTCCAACCGCAAACAGGAATCTGATTCCAAAGGATTGATGATGGTGTAGGTGGCTCCCTAGGAAGCAGACTCTGGATGGAATTTAGTGTGCAGGATGTTCTGGGGAAGCGCCACTGGAACCAGCATTCACGGAAAGGAGGAGAAGAAAGGAGAGGAAGCAGGAGAGAGTATAGGGAGAAGTGAATGGGAATGCAGAGCAGATGTGAGCTTCAGCCAACTCCAAGGACAGACCTGGAGCTGGAATGGCCTTTAGAGGTGCCCCACAGTGACAGAGCTGCCCAGGCCTCTATACCCCTACATGGATCACCCACTATGCTTGGGCACCTTGAGAAAGGGCATAGCCTTGAGCAAAAGACTTTCTGCAGCTGAGGCAACCTCTAAGTGGGCTGACAGCTGAAGTCTGTCTGCTGACCACTGTCCCAGCAGCTGGTGTTTGTTAGTCCTTCCTCAAAGGGGGATCCAGCTGGCTTGTCATACTGTCCACCATAAAAGCTCAGTGAGCTCCAGCTGCAAGGTAGGAAGACTCCCTTATGTGATCCTGTGTCTCACCCTTTCAGACTGAAAGCAACAGTGGGGACGATGAGACCTACGATCCCAGGATGTATCAGAAACGTGCTTACATCAGAACATATGAGCGCTCTTATTTCCCTCAAGGCTCCAGCACATTCCAGGAAGCATCTACCCCACAGGCAGAAGAGAACTGGACGTGCACCATCCTCTGAATGCCAGGGCATCTTAGGGGAAAGGGTTCCAGTGTTATATGCACCAGACCCTTCATTTCCAGGTGGGACACTTGATCCAGAGAGGACAAAGGTCCTCAGTGAGCTGGTGCACAATCTAAGACAGTATCCAGGTCTCCTGACCCCTGGCCTTCTATGCCCTCTCTCCTATGATGGATAACATTCCCCACAGCCTTGCCTCACTCCACCTATTCTCTGAAAATATTCCCTGAGAGGGAACAGAGAGATTTAGGTAAGAGAATGAAATTCCAGCCCTGACTTTATTCTGTGCACCTGGTGGGAGGGTTATATCTAATGTATTATCAATAACAATAAAAATAAAGCAAATACCATTTATTGGGTGTTTATTAACTTCAAGGCACAGATCCAAGAAGTACAGATGCATATCTAGGGGAGTGTGTGTGTGTGTGTGTGTGTGTGTGTTGATTTAACAAGATGTATTTATTGAGAATTTACTATGTGCCAAGCATAGCTCTGGGCACTGGGAACATAGCAGTGCACAAAACAAGGCAGAAATCCCTGTCCTCATGACCCTGCAAGAGCCAAGACTTCCAGAATGAATTTTTTAAGTAAAAAAGTCCCTGTCCTCATGGAGTTGACATTTGTGCAAAACATCTTATATTAGAGGGTTTTCCTATTACTAATAATCCTGAAATAAGTGTCTTTGAGTCATCCTTTCTCCATATCTCTGAGAAAAATTTTAGAACTTCCCAGTGTGACACAGCGGCCACTAGCCACCTGTATCTATTCAATGCTTGAAATGTAGCTAGTCTATCTACATGTGTTATGAGTGCAAAATGTATACTTGGTTTCAAAGACTGAGTACAAAGAAAAAGAATGTCAAGTTCTTGCCAACTGATAATTTTTTAAATTGTGTGCTGAAATGATAATTTTTGATATATTTTTGAGTAAAATCAAAATGAACTTCATTTTCTTTTCCCTTTTTAATTGTGGCTACTAAAAAATGTGAAATCACACATGTGGCTTGCATTACACGACATACTTGTATTGGGCAGTTCTGCCCTCCTAGGTAAATCACTGGATTAAAGAATCAACTATACTGATTTACACTGCCACATCGTCACACTGTTCTTGGGACCAAGAACCAGCATATCATTCATAAGACTCCAAAATATAAAACTCTCATAAATACTCACAAAAGAAACAAGCAAGCTCTTATCACCTGACTTGCTGGTCACTTGGGCAGTTGCCAAGCAGTGTTTAGTCTATCCAGATTGTATTCTTCCATTTAGCCTTTCAGCATCCCTGTGAGATGGGTTTTGTTGTTATTCTCATAATAATAAGTGGACGAACTTGAAGTTCTCAGAGGTTACAGTGCTTGCCCAGGGTCACCCAGCTGGTCAGGGGCAGAATCTGAACTTGAACACTAATCCTTCTCTCGGTAAAGCTCATGTTCTTAATCACCATGGTGTGGTCTTCATGTGTCCTCATTCATTGAATTCTTATGTTTTCCTACTCTGGCACCATGAGAACCAGAAGCACCAATGTCCAAGGCAGGGGAAGATGAATGTCCCAGCTCAACCTGAGTGCAGATTCACACTTCCTCCATCTTTGTGTCCTATTTGTAGGCTGAATTAGATAATGCCAGTCTGCTGATTCTGAAATATCTTTCAGAAACACCCTCTCAGATACACCCAGAAATGTTTTACCAGCTATCTGGGCACCCTTAGTCCAGTCAAATTATCACATAAAATTAATCATTGCACACTCCATTCTGATAGGCAAGTGTGGACATCCCAATGTAATGGCTTCATTGTATTTTACGATGTGGAAAATGCACTTATGTTGCCTTTTGAGAGTGTTTCATGTTATAACAACACCAAAACCAACAGCAGATTAATGGAATCAGTAATTAGTTGCTCGATTGAAGAGCCGAATGGCCACATGATCAGCCTTCCATCTACAACAGGGCCTGGTAGTGCACCATGATTGTTTTCCAAAGGGCATATGCGTTTTTGTGGCAAATGACATGGGCTTGCTCCAGAGTCCTGGGGGATCTGTGTAATAATTCTCTAATTAGATATTGCCATAATCTCTGAATGACATCTTTTCCCATGACTGACAGTTGGAACACCATGGGGTCTGCCATGGTGGTATGGCTCAAGTAGAGGGGCACCTTGCACTGCAGCCTCTACCAGCTGCAGAGTCCTTTACGCCTTCATAAGAGGGTATGAATTTCTGTACGTCCCTCACTCTGAGATGTAATAGTGGTTTTGATTTACTATCCTGGCCAGGAAAGTGGCAGTTTCGAAGGCATCCCCGTGACCTTCCTCACTGTGATAGCTCTCACTTAACCTCAGGCTAATGTGGGGTAGTGTCTTTTACCAAGCACGTCCTTTTGAACATACACTTGGGGGACAGGGAAATGATCACCAGGTAGGTCCACAGACACAGCGGGCAAATTACAAGCCTGACCTGACCGGGGCTCCATTTTCCACTCTTGGCTCCTACATGCCCCTACTCTGATGGAGACAGAATCTGGTGACACTTTGGATTTTCCTGCATCATTATCAATGTTGATCCTCTGCCCAACAGTCTTTGAAATGTTGAGTGTTTCCACTTTTTCAGTGTATCATCCTCTGAATAAAGGCCATAGATCCCTTGGGGGAAACCATTACTATATATAGTGTTGCAGGGTCCTTTCCCAAGGGAACTCTGCCTCCTCCTTGTTATTGGGGTCTAGTCTGAGAACTGGGTCAGGTCCAATAATCAGGAGAGAATGATGACTTTTTATTGGAACGACTGCCCTTAACCCCCTAGTCATCCAGCTTTGATTTCTTCTAATGGCATAAATTGAGTAGTGCCCTTTCAAGAGACTCATCCATTAAGTCGCCAGGAGGCCACATTGTATTCATCAGGTCCCTGACTCTCTGTGGGTCATGACCCCTGGCTGCCCCTCCAACCTCACCACTAATTATAATCACTGCACCCACTTGGCTTCTATTGCTCTGGGAGTCCTGCCTGCCCTATTGTCCTTATCAATCCAAGCTCTGTAACAGCCCCTTTTCCCAGGAGGCCACCATCAAAACACCTGGTGATGCAGGTGCCTTTCTCTCGAGCACATTCCTTATGGCCTTGGGGAATGTTTTGTTCCCTGGGACTCTATTTCCAGACTTACATAGCAAACATATCCACTCCTGTTCACTGTGCCCACTTCCCTTGGCCTTTTAACTCATTCCACCAGCTCCGCAGTAATTCTGGAATGTCACACTTTTCTGCATTTCTAGGAGCCATCCTAGGAGTCAGGGAAAACCTTGGCCTCACAAACAAATGGGACTACAGTTGTGTGCCAACATGCCTGGCTAATTTTTTTAATCTTTTGTAGAGATGGGGTCTTGCTGTGTTATCCAGGCTTGTCTTGAACTCCTGGCCTCAAAATCTTGCCTCCTTGACCATTCAAAGTGCTGGGATCACAGCTACCATACCCAGACAAATTTTCTTATTTTTGAAGGCTGAATAATGTTCCATTGTGTGCACCGCATACCTTGATTTTCTTTAACACATTTACCCACTCACAGTTGCTCAGGTTGCTCCCACTTCTTGGTTACTGTGAATAGTGCTGCAGTGAACATGGGAATGCAGTTATCTCTTCGATACCCTGATTTCAATTCTTTTGGATAAATACTCAGAAGTGGTACTGCTGTAAGACATGGTAGTTCTATTTCTAACTTTTTGAGGAACCTCCATACTGTTTTTCATAGTGGCTTCCCAACAAGTACAAGAGTTCCCGTCTCTCTACATCCTCACACTTGTTATCTTTTGTTGATTTTTTTTTAAAAAATGATCACCACCCTACCGGGGATGAGGTGATATTGTATTGTGATTTTGATTTGCATTTCTCTGATAATTAGTGACACTGAGTATCTTTTCATACACCTGTTATCCATTTGTATGTCTTCTTTGGAGAAAGATCTATTCCAATCCTTAGCCCATTTTTAAATCAAGCTATTAGTTTTGTGCTATTGCACTGTAGGAGTTCCTCACATATTGTGGAGATTAACCCTTAGTAGACAGATGGTTTGCAAATGTTGTCTTCATCCCGTAGATTGCCTTTTCAGCTCGTTGATTGTTTCCTTTGCTGTGCAGAAGCTTTTTGGTCTGATGCAGTCCCAGTTGCCTATTTTTGCTTTTGTTGCCTGTGCTTTACCTACATGGTCAACGGATCTTTGACAAGATTGCCAAAAATACACAGTGGGGAAAGGACAATGTCTTCGACAAATGGTGTTTGGAAAGCTGAATGCCCACATGCAAAGTAATAAAATTGGACCCTTACCTTACACCACACACAAAATCATCTCAAAGTGAATTAAAGGCTTGAACATCAGACCTGAAACTGAAACTACTAGAAGGAAACATAGGGGAAAACTTCATGACATGGGTGTTTCCAGTGATTTCTTGGCTGTGACACCAAAACCACAGACAAGAGAAGGCGTTTATTGTCATATGGCATGTGAGGAAGGGGTTCAGTTCCAGCTCTTCCAATGTGGATGCTCAATTACCCCAGCAGCATTTGTTGAAGGGACCATGCTCTCTCCACGTGTTTGCAAAGCCGCCTCTTGAATATTCCCAGAGCCCATCTATGTGGGCGTGTGTCTGGACTCTGCTCTTTTCCGTTGGTCTGTTTTTTGTATCTTGAGTTAATACTGCCTCGTCTTCGTTACTATAGCCTTATAAATCTTCCTATCTCTGGGAGAATTCTGCTTTCTTTTTATCAAGTCATGGGTTCCTCTTAGCCCTTTCTATTCCTACATTAGTTTTATACTCAATTTGTGACACTCCTCCCAAAAC